TCAGATACAGCACTTGAGGCTGTAAACTGCTTAAAAAAAACTTTCATGGCAAAATCAAATGTGATAAACGTTGTGCACTTTCATCTTCCTTTCTCTGTATGTAAAATAGATCAATAAGTAATGCAATTGGGCTATTGTGGCACCAAAAAGCTAACCTCAAAATATTGCAACTTGCCATTTATTTACACACATTTTGCTGCATTGGCTTTATGCAGTGTTTTACGGAGTACACAGAGTCTTGAGTGACCAATGCTTCCATGGAATAAAGTCTATCATTGAAAGAATCAATCATTGGCTTGAGATTACTGAACCAAGATTTGATGAAACCATTGTGACTACCTGTATGATGTCAGAGGTTCAAGTGGACCATTACAGATGCTATCTTCAGACACACATTCTCTTTCACTCCCGATGGTGTAAGACGTTAGAGTGTCGGCAATTTGACGTTTGCGGCGGCCTCCGAACGGAGTCGGAGCAAAGAGGGGCGAGGTCACATAGGCTGTACGGAAAAGAAGATCTCTGACCTGCTGATAACGCCGAGGAGGGTCTGATATTGTTCGGTCTGTGTTGCTGGCTGTAAACAAAGAAGACAACAAGAAAATAATAATGTAACCCTCGCTCAATCTTAAATCTTCATTTGCAGAGATTTTGTTAACAGACACGGTTGTATTCCCCCCCCCCCCTCCTGTATTGTGACAACTCCCTTAACCCTATAAGGGTATGGTTAAACTCAACCTAATTCTTACTCATGTATCAAACTGATGTGAAGAAAATTGATGACGAGAGAAATCAGAGAATAGCGTTGAAAAGAGCAATACTAAAGCTTTTAGACTTGCACTCATCAGAGTAAAACGCAAGAATGACACAGAACGCCGAAAATGATCAATATAAACGGAAACTCAAAGAGAGAAATACACACCATGTTCTTCTGCTACAAAGACCTGCAGAGCAATGACAGCGCCATTCACATCGGAGAAGAGGTTATCATTGATCACGATGGTGATGGTAGTTGCTGAGGATGACGCTGTCGCACCCTGAGCGTTGATACCATTGCCTGAAGGTACAGGATCTAAAGTCAAACATTGGATGAAACAACTCGTCATCACATTCATCTCATGGAAGTGCATTTACAATCCTGAGATAAAACTGACATCATTATTTCAGAAAATCTTCATGTAATAGCTGTAAGCATGAATTATTACCAGATCAAAGTACACGAGCTTATACAAAAGTTTGAGAACTGTAGTCTTAGACAGTATAATGAATCCCAACAACTTTATTTGGATTAAATCAGACCAAAAGTAAAATAGTGATCATTTGTGGTCTACATAAGTGAAGGTATGTTTCAGAATGAAATGGCTGTATTGATGTAAAGACAAAGGGAAACCGTTTACCTCCAGCTACTAGAGTAACTTCTCCAATGACTGCATCGCTAGTTCCTTCCCCATTCACAGCTTGCACCTAAACAATAACAACAAACAGGTCAAAGGTCATAAGAATGTACTCTCATATACAAATACAATCATCAGAAGAAAAAAATAATAGCTCCTAAACAAATAGCTAGCACGAATCATTCAAATTTAGTTTTCAGAGGAGAAGATCGCTACCATGGGTGTACACTGCAAATTGGCAACACAATGTCACTGCCCTCTATACCAAACTGTCTATGGAAGCTACTTCATCAAAGAGACTCTTCTTATGTATCAATGAGTATCACTTTCACTGACAGAAAATCCTGTTTATTTCATAATAATGATATCAATAAGTACTTCTACAGTGCACTTTTCTGAATCATTCAAATTTAGTTTCCAGAGGAGAATATTGCTACCATGAGTGTATAGCACAAATTGGCAACACAATGTCACGGCCCTCTATACCATACTGTCTGTGGAAGCTACTTCATCAAAGAAGCTCTTCCTATATGAATCAATAAGTATCACTTTCACTGACAGAAAATCCTGTTTATATTATAATAACAATATCAATAAATACTTCGACACTGCACTTTTCTGATAAAGTACCACACAAGGTGTTACATTATAGATGCAGAAAGGTAAAATAGTAAAATACTAGAAGGGATCAAACTTACACACGCTACTCACATTTATATTTTCATTTTTATTTTCAGATACACATAGAAAGATGGTACATGCCCGTTCTAGCATTACTAAAATTATGAACAAGCATGAATGATCATTGACAGGTTTTAACAAGTACAAGGAAGCCTACTTTGTGAGGACTAGTTCAAAGTACTTACACTGAATTGGTAAACATATCCTGGGTCGAGACTGGCGATAGGAACTTCAACCCTGACATCATTGGGATGGATATCACTGAAGAACTGGTTCCCACTGCTTGTAGCAGTCTGTTGAAAGAATTCAAGGTCAAAGGTCATACAAAATCCCAAGTATTTCATGGAAACAAATATCCCTAAAAAAAAATTTCCCTGATGAAGTTTCAGCCTATTTCCAGTTTCAAACATCCTCAAAAACATCTTTTAAAATAATGACTACGGTACTTTCTTTTTAAGATAGATGAAATTCTCAAATTTTTCCTTATTTGAGTTTTTTTTCTCTCAATTTTCCTGACAGGGCAAACAGGAATTCATTTCCCAGTATATCTCGAATTCCCCAGATAGTGGTAAACCTGTCATTATCCAGTCAATCACATGCACCCTGGTAACTGATTCAATAAAGGCTAGAAACATCAAGCTCCAATCATCCCAGCAGCTTATACCAATCTGTCTTGCAAGATAACGAACATTTGCATGTGGAGGCTCTACTGATCAAGAAATAGTTTACAAAATGCCTGACACAAATTTTCCCATACTTTGTAATGGTTTTATTACTGACCGCTCTGATTAATAAATCATAAATTACAAAAAAGAGCCTAAATGGAATGGTGTATATGAATGGTCAAAGGAATGGCAGGAATATCAGTGTGTACAAATATTAATCTCATATGAAATAAACAGATCGACTGGTTTATACTTTCAATGATTATCCTCTATTAAAGGTACTATGTCCCATTTGCAGGCCCCAAAAATGAAAAGGTTTAATTTCACCGGTATGTGAAAGATCAAACTAATTTAGTTCTCCCCTCAAAACGAATGGGCTTGAAAATGTCTTTTTGAGGTAAAATAACGACTGTTAGTTGTTGATTCACCTTTAGGGATTGCAATCCTTTTAGTAAATAGTCCAATTTTCAGACCCTTGTACTGAATGGTGTACATTTTGTGCTGTTTAAAGATTCAACCAGTTTAATTTTGGCCATTACAAGAAGTGGGTTATTGATGAAGTCAAATGCTCATGTACCTTTACAGCTCATTTTATGTATGTTATTACCAAAGAAAAAATGAAGTCAGTCAGTCACTCAATAGTGTCTGACAGTGAAGTCTAGAAAGTAAACAGGTTTCCTTGCGTAATTTGAATTCTAGGACACTGCTAAAGTTTAAATTTCACAGATAGGACATACATGACATATTCATAACTCCTGCAAAGTTCTACAGAATTTGACGTTGGCTACAAATGGGACATAGTATCTTTAAAAAGTGAGAAGAAAAAAAAAGGGTCATATGTTGAGAAATGACGTTGGTTGTTGTGAACAGCTTTAAACTCACGTTTCTCATGCCGTTGTAAGAAATGAGATATCCAGTGATAAGACCATTAGGTTTGGTTGGAACGTTGAAGACCACATTCACTGAGCTGGCTGAGGTAGTCACAATCATTAGATTCTCAATCATATTGGGCCCTACAAAAGAAGACATCAACATTCCACATCACTTGATCATATACAGAATAATATGCAAGTATAAGCAAGAAATAGTCATTATGAACAATTCACAAAATATTTTGAAAATAAATTTGTTGTCAAAAGTGAGTGAAGAGCTGAATTTCATTGAATTAAAGATATTCAATGGGGCATTTAGGAATACATTGTGACACTTATGCAATAAATGAATAATGAATGAACCATGAATGAGTCTCATTACTCAGTTGTATTGGTCAGAAGGGTGTCATTGTACTAGTGGCACTTGTAAATGTGATACAGATCGGTGTCAATAAACTTGTGCTTCCTTTAGAAATAATCTTGTCAGCCCTTTTTTAGTCTTTAGAACCATTAACACTTCTTACTTCTATGGTAATATAAATGACTTCTAGGCTTGTAAATCTCTGTGTATAAGACACACTTTTTTCCGCCGGAAAAATTCAAAAGTTGGGATGCGTCTTATACAGAATATTTGAGTCCTCAAATGCTACTTTTTAGTGGTTTTCGATAATCTCTGTGTCTCAACAAAAAAGAATAGGATCTACTACTTGAAGTTAACCTACGTCCCTAATTTGAAGGGAGTTTTTTTTTGTCTTAAAGGTAGGGGTAAGTCTTATACACAGGTGCATCTTATACACAGATATTTACGGTACATTCCTATTCAGGCTGAAGATACACAAGTAGAAGTGAACATGAAAGAAATTGAAATATTTTAAAGGCCTACATTTCCAGTAACATATTGAGGTAAAGTGGATGCCATTTAGAATTGATCAGAGGGCCTGAAAATCACCTAGAGTGAGCTATTTTGTACACAAAAAACCAAAACTATGGCCTAAAAATAAATCGTCAGGGCCTGAATTCAGGCTTTTGCCTGAAAACTGGCATCCCTGTGAGGTAAAGTGGGTCAACGTACTTGCTGCAAACGTTCTTTGTCTCCACGTGGTAGGGGTGCTAGTCACGGAGTTGACGACTGTGCGTACATCAAATTGTATGGTGGTGTAGGGATCTAAGCCGGTGAGGACAAATCTATTCTCAATCACATACTGTGGTGTCTGTGGTGTAAAGCTGGTGCCGTTTGGAGAGTAAGATACCTCGTACTCGTCACGTTCGCCGCTGTTATGGGCCCATTGGATGGTGATGGTCGTCTCGTCGACAAACGTTGGTTCTGGGATCCCGGGAGGGTTGGGGCCTATGGTTAAGAAATATTTTATAATGCATGATCAAATAGTGCACTAGAATCAACCCTTAAAAATGAATGTAGGATTCACATTGTAAAGAATAGCGTTCCAAGCAATTCATGAAACGATCCCCTGATATTCCCTGATAGAGTTTCAAAAATCCAGGATTATTAAAGGATGCATTTCACAAGCAATAAAGAAACCACACCCAATCATCCAGTAGATATGCTGTTTGGATATGAGGAAATGTACCTATTTGACTAATCACTTCTCAGGCCAATGAAAATCCATGTTTTTCCCCTGATTTGAATGAGATTCTTTTTCAAATTTGCAGTCTTCGCCTTGATTGGAATAAAATTCATTCACTTTTCTACTTTTTTCCTGATCTCCAGGATCACTAAAACCATGTGGAGATATTCTACATTAGGAGACAGTGGCTTCCTTCTCTTCCAGGTGGGTGCAATTTCAACACCCTAGCATAATTCTATTGATTCCATGCCAGAGTTGTTATGATTTTGACATAACTAATCTCTATCCTTCCTCAGAGATATCGAATTAAAGAAACCTCTAACATGAATGCAAAAAATAAAATATGTAAAATAGCAAGCAATGGCTTTAATTCCTCCTTTTGAGTTTCCTCCTATGACAAATAAAATTTCTACCACAGTTTCTATCAAGAAATGGGACAATTTTCTGACTCCTGGGGGGTGTTTCACAAAGATCCTAAGTCGAACTTAACTCTAAGTCGGACTTAAACATTATGGAGAGCAATTTGTAGCCTTAAAATTAAATATTTCCATAAGCAAAAATTAGTATTTTTAGATTTTTCATAAATTTCATATCAAGAACATGAAATCTCTTTGATAATAGTAAATATGAATGATTTAAATCAACATTTTATGCCTTTTGAAATAACTTTTACAAAATATTTTCAAAGATGCTAGTGGCTTTCCATAATTTCTAAGTCCAACTTAGAGATAAGTTCAACCTAGGATTTTTGTGAAACACCCCCCTGAATGACTTTGGTTGTGACTTACGTGAAGTGAAAGTCTGAAGCACTGCCTCGCTCGTTGCCGACCCTGCGTTGGATAACACTCTGTACGTGTACATGGTTCCAGCTGTCAGGTCCATGTACTCCACACTGAATTCATTGCTACCATCTGGCCCTCTAACCTCATTCCCACCATCATCAAGGAGAGTGTGAGTGAAGTTACTATGGAAGCCAAGGGGAGCTTCGTAGGTGATGGTAGCCGTTGTTTCTGTGACTTCGATCGCAATGTTTTCAGGTGGAACCGGAGCTGAAAATTGAGTGTCAAGTATTGAAATCAATGATAAATTAATGATAAACCCATGTATTGGGAGCGCCAGGAGTGTCAAGTCTGACAGACATGAGCGCTATACAAGAACCCACTATTATTATTATTATGAATGAAAGCTGTTGTTGGTTGAATCCCAAACTAATAAATACAAAAATGAACCTCTATTTTTCTGCTAGCGCTTTGGAATAGAAATTATAGATAGATGACGCCAAACGAATGCCTGTTCTCAATATCAATATTACTAATCAAATCATTGTTATACATGCACTTTTCATCATAAGGTTCTAGTCTGGTAGTAATCCCAACAGTCATGGCACTTTATTTACACTCGTCTCTCTCAGCTTGGGAGGGGTAAGTGAGTACCAGGATTTAATTTATTTTATTTACATGTAATATATAGTAAAGTGATAACATGCATGTTGTAGAGCTAGATTGATAATAATGAGGTCTAGGCAACAGTAATAAACACTTGTGAATTAAGGAAGTTCTTTACTTTTTATGATTTAAAACATTCATCATGAGATATAATGCATCTGAAACACAAATTATGCAATAATTTCTATGTCGTAAAAGCGAATTGTATTTTCGTCAGTTTCAAAACCACATCATTACTTGTTCGTTGCATGACAGTATCCGTCTCTCCGAAGGCACGAGTGGACTGAACATTCTGGTAAGCTTGCACAGTGAACGAGTACTCCACACCCGGGAGCAGGGACGGCACTACGTAAGCCGTGTCGGCTCCTGGGATATCGACAGGAGCAGGGTCAGCGTCAGCTACAGCTGAAAGGATGTCAATGGTCAGCACGTAGCCATCAGGAGTGACCGATAGTGGAACGCTCCATGCCAGGCTTACTGATGTGGTGTTGAAGTTCGCCACTTGGAGAACAACCGCAGCAGGTTCTTTGATAGGAAGATAAGAACATTCAAAGTTGATGCAATGTATTGTGCTCCAAGCTACTAAAATATATACAGTGTACATCTTACATAATAAACATAATTTTTTACATTCATTCATATTTTTGTGAAAAATATACTAAGGGAACTCTCTATGATCAGCATATTTATGATAAAACCACACAAAAAGAGAACAAGTTAGGGGGAAATATGGATTTTCACAACCTGATCATGAGATAATATTGCAGCATGTTTCCTTTATATATGATCTATTTAGATAAAGGCATTTGAAGGGGGTAGGGGCAGGGGGGGGGGGGGGGGGGGTCACTGAACAACTCAAACATGCCCAAACCCACATGTTAATAAAGCACAATATTAATACCCTCTCACACTTCATGCAGATGCGTTTTCAAAGAATGATTCCTAGTGGTCCATTGGTTTTTCCTGATAAGATCACACAACTTGGATTTTGACACCTATTATGTGCCTATCATTAGTAAGTTCCAGTATGTAAAATACTATAAAAAAAAGACAGGGATATCAAGCAACAGTTAGTGCATTTACTTACTTGCCACAACAGGTATACTATTACACCCTGCAGGACTTTCTGGACCTGCGTTTATGGCGTTGGCTGTGACTTCTATCACGTAGGTCTGGGCTGGTGTTAGCGAGGAGAAGACTGCTCTGTGCATGTCATTTGTCGAGGTAAATGGGTTGGGTATCTGGGAATCATAGGTCACACCGGTTCTTGGGGTGATACTGATAGAGTAAGATTCGACGTTGGTGTAGCCTTCCGGTCTGGGCCATGTGGCGACGATCTCCATGGATGTGACCTCAGAAGCAGGAATCACAAGGGCAGGACATGAGGGCACTGTAAACAAGGTAAGAGCAATGTAAGAATCTTTGCCATTAGAATGATTAGGTTCCACTAATCTGTGGGGAAAAATGATTTAACACATTGCTAAAAGTGTGATGGCATGTTACATCCATACAAATTAGTTCGCAAATATAAGAATAATGTCAGAACATAGGTATTTATAAAACATCTGAAGAAATATATTTAAGAGTAGGAGGAAGCGGAGGGGAGGAGAAGGGGAAGGAGAAAGAGGAGGATGAGAAGAAGGGGGAGGAGGAGAAGAAGGAAGAGGAAGAGGAGGAGGAGAAGGAGGAGGAAAAGGAGGAGAAGGAGGAGGAAAAGGAGGAGGAAAAGGAGGAGGAGAAGGAGGAGGAGGAGTAGGAAGAGGAGGACGAGAAGAAGGGGGAGGAGGAGGAGAAGGAGGTGGAGGAGGAGGAGGAGGAAAGGAGGAGGAGGAGGAGGAGGAGGAGGAGGAAGAGGAGGAGGAGGAGGAGGAGGAGGAGGAGGAGGAGGAGGAGGAAGAGGAGGAGGAGGAAGGGGAGGAGGAGGAGGAGGAGGAGGAGGAGGAGGAGGAGGAGGAGGATGAGAAGAAAGGGGAGGAGGAGGAGGAGGAGGAGGTGGAGGAAGAGAAGGAGGAGGAGGAGGAGGAGGAGGAGAAGGAGGAGGAGGAGGAGGAGGAGGAGGAGAAGGAGGAGGAGGAGGAGGAGGAGGAGGAGGAGGAGGAGGAAGAGGAGAAGGAGGTGGAGGAGGAGGAGGAGGAGGAGGAGGAGGAGGAGGAGGAGGAGAAGGAGGTGGAGGAGGAGGAGGAGGAGGAGGAGGAGGAGGAGAGGAGGAGGAGGAGGAGGAGGAGAAGGAGGAGGAGGAGGAGGAGGAGAAGGAGGAGGAGGAGGAGGAGGAGAAGGAGGAGGAGGAGGAGGATAATTAGTGGTAAGTGAATACTAAATGATGAAGGGGGAAATAGTCGGGAGGGGAATAAAGTACATAGAAAGGAAGAGAATGAGGAGTATTAAGTCAAATTTAAGGATTATAAAAAGAAAGACCAAGAAGAGTATATTTACATAGAGTTGTTGGAGCATTGAGGTGGACGAAACTAGGTCCTTTCTGCATACCACCCTTGGTGAGCTGTATAGTAACTGTATACTCATCTCCAGGCGTCAAACCAGTGAAGGTATACATGTAAGTTCCCACTGATTTGATCTGCGAGTACTCTGGATTCTGCCCATCCAGAGGATTGATGGTGAGAAGGTATGAATCAAAATCTCCGATGGATGGAAACCATTCGACCGTCAGGGTTGTATCGGTAAAGTCTTGCACCCTCAAGTTGGGATTCGTTCCTGTGAGAACATCACATCAAAAGAAAGATATTCATGGAGAAAATGGTTTACGCTTAAAGAATACCCATTTCACATTATTATGCACACATACATTTTACAGAATTTCTGACCAGGAGATACAATGATTTTTTATTTTGTTATTTATATCAATTATATTGAAATTATATCAAATCATAAAAATGTTAATAAGAAATGTTTTTTCATTAAAATAAAATTATTCATACAAGTCAAAGAATTGATACTTTGTTTGCAATGTTTTCCAAACATGAAATTTTGGATGAATCAGTAATATACCAAAGTAACATTATATAATCTAACAGTCAGACATGTACAGTACATGTAAAACCTGCCTAAAATAATATCAGGTTTATTATTTTCATCCAGTGAAAAAAAAAAGACATTTAAATGCATAAAATGAAGAGATGAAAAGGAAACTAGATGAGCATGAATCTTACCTCGACATCTTAATTCCTGAGGGATGCAGCCAAGAAGAACAGAATCGGTTGGAGTTCCGCTCAGACTGAAATCGGCTCCAGGGGCGGCACTCAGGCGAGCGCAGAAGTGACGGAATTCATTGCACATCAGACCGGAGAGATTGAGGGTAGCCTCCAGATTGGAAAACTCAATTTGACTGTTTGGTGCTGATGGGGCGGTCAGATCCTCTAAAACTACGCTCCGCAGGGGATTCGTTCCCTCATTGTCAAGGCTCACAAACACCTAGGATGAAAACAGTATATGGATCAGTCACTATGGTAACATAAACACAAAGTTGATCATGGTAAAAGGGATGTTTATGTGGATTAGCAACAACGAAAAAATCAACCAATAGGGCACAATAAGCCGCTAGATCATTGCTTGCTTGCTTAGTGCCCTGTCTATTCCTGACATTGGTAGTCGGACGTTCCGTCTACTTTTTGTACTAATTGTAATATGCTGTTACATCTATTAATATCGGCTGGCCCAATGAAAAGATCCATATATGTGGTATGCTGTCCCCCTTTGCCTATGTTTCCCCCAATATTTAGACTGGATATCCAGTTTTCTGTGCTCTCTTATGTCATTATGTGACCTTTATCACATTTGTCTTTAAGGACCCCGGTGAAAATAAGCTAATTGTCGCCTTTCATGGGTTATCCTCTCAAGGTGGTCATTAATATTATCTTTCATTATCAAACATTCCTCATGCTTCGAATGTATAATCAAAATCAAAATCATATGATCAAATAATAGAACATTTCTGTAAGATGTTAAAGGCATCGTTTAACAATGTTAAATCTGAGATTCATGGTCATACGTATTATCAGCATCTGTGATATGGTGTAATATTGAAGCCCTAAGTGCCTCAAAAATGTAAAAATCTTTGAGTGACCGGTTTTACCATACAGGTACTCATTTTCCCCAATAGACTGTAATGTTATAAAACAACGTTAGGAAACAGAAAAATTGATTTCTATTTCCAATCATAAATATCTTGATAATCAGACAGGCGATTGGCTTGTAAAAGTCATGGGGTTCCTGACTGACCTAAAGGTTTATAATGATGATTGCAGCATGAGCTAGATCAAGGATTTTGTTTCAGAATCTGAGACAATGTTACCGAGTCACTTTAAAGAGGGAGAGATACTGACCTCTATCTGCCATGCTTGGTTTCCATCTGTCGGGATTCCATTCCCAGTGACTGCATCAGCTGAGAATGTGAAGGTATGGGCAGAATCCCCTTCCAGGATTTCGTTTGATCCCAGATTGAGGGTTGGGACATAGGAATTGACTATCACACCTAGAAAGAGACATGAGGAAGACAAACAGGGTCGTTACACTCATGTTGAATATTGAGTAGAATGGGTATTTATCTATACTTGAGTGCTAAGAGGAAAGTATGAATGTATGTACGTGGTATAAGCAGCAAAGTCCTATCCATAAGACTATTAAAATGAATGCATGACCCATCTATCATCATCATCGCCATCATCATCATCATCATCATCATCATCATCATCATCATCACAACCACCACCACACGATCATCATCATCATCATCATCATCACCACAACCACCACCACGATCATCATCATCATCATCATCATCATCACCACCATCATCATCATCATCATCACCACACGGATCATCATCATCATCATCACCGCCATCATCATCATCATCATCATCACCGCCATCATCATCATCATCATCATCACCATCACCACCATCATCACCATCATCATCATCATCATCATCATCATCATCATCATCATCATCATCATCATCATCATCATCATCACCACCACCACCACCACCACCACCACCACCACCACCACCACCACCACCACCATCATCATCATCATCATCATCATCATCATCATCACCATCACCACCACCACCACCACACGATCATCATCATCATCACCATCATCATTATTACCTGCACAAGGTTGAAGGGCAAATCCAAGATTGGAATCATCTTCTAGCTTGTAATTCGGAACGGCGTTAAGGCCCTTGCGGACATCTACGAAGATATACCCCAAATCACTGCAGGAATAACCAGTGAAATCCAATACAGCCTGCACATTCATTAGAGTATTGTTCTGGAATCTGTTCACCTCCAAATTGGATGCGTAGGCATTAGAAACAGGCACAGTAACCTTGAGAAATAAATAGGAAATTCAAATATTATGACCAACATGTATTCATTGAACCCAGTGTGAGAATATGCATTCAAGAATACAGTTTGCACTTTTCTATTGCTTTTTTGTTCTACAAACTTCCATTTAATCTGGGACACGTTTCACAAAGCCTTTTTTCAATAACAAATAACAAAAATCTGTGACAAATCTGCTGATAACCAATCAGAAGCAAGGATTTCAGTAGCTTATGACAAAAACTGTCATTTGTCACTGATGACAAGTTTTGTGAAATAGTGCCCTGATCTGAACAAGAGTGAATGGGATCAGTACACACATAAAACACATAGAACTTACAGTTTTAAAGCTGATATTCTAAGCAAATAAATGTCCCTTAATTTGGTACCTACGGCAAGCATGTGTTATTTATAAGTTTTTCAATTACATAGTATATCACAAAAAAATTCTGGCTACTCGAAATCCTTAATTGAAATGTCAGCATTTCAGCATATTGAGAAAGAGTGGACATTTGGAAGAGAAAATTAACACCATATTTGGTATCATCTGTTCAGAGCCAAAAGGGGGTTAGCTCTGTGTTAATCCTGAGGATGTATGGGTTAAAGCCCTTCTGGCTCCAAACAGACAACATACTTACCAAGGAGATCTGAGCTAGGTTTCCGGTATTTGAAGCTGAAGCAAAGACATCTACTTGGAAGAGGTTTTCCCCAATGATACTAGCGAAGATTGGATCAGGCATGAGGATGATCTCTAATGTAATGGTCTGGTTTGCAAGGTCTTCAATCCAAATAGGTGGGGTAATCACAACAGGTGCCACACTAACCAGCCTCACTCCTGCAAACCACATGGATACAAGTGAGACAAGTACATGGATATAAGCCAGTTCACGGTAGTAGAAGTAGTAGGAGAAGTAGTAGTAGTAGTAGTACATGTAGCTCTATACAGACCGAATTTATTTTTTCATTTCTTTTCACAAATATAAACAATGACAAACAATAATAAACGTAATGATATAACAGAAGTGAGCATTGAAATATCTTTGACATTGTTTTTGGTCATTGTAATGCAAAATGATTTGGTTAAACAGGAAATGAAAAAAAAACGAACCTACTTGAAAGCAATGCTTGTTGGGTGCAGTCTGAGCATGAGCAGATAAAGCATTGCAGAACAAATTTTGAAATATATGGGAGACAAAATACTGGATACGTGCTCATGATAGTTATGTAACATTATTCATTTATGCACAAGCAGTGCACTCCATGATACACAGGTGGAAGTATGCTTTGAAAAGGGGAAATAAAGGCTATTTATATAGCACCTCCATCTCTGTATGAGTGATTATTTCAAAATGTACAAAGTGGGACCTCTTCATGTTTTGAAGATCTGTGGATATTCGGGGTCATTGCAGTGATGTGCTAACCGTGAATATTGGTCAGCATGAGAACAATTGCATTAATACCTTGCATGCTTCCTCTTTATTTTTAAATATTTTGTTTGTTTGTTCTTCTGGTAGGGTAATGCTTTCTTTCAGATCTACTTGCACTTTTTGTCATGCAAAGGTGTCTTTCTCAGATATAAGTTTACTTTTCCTCATGCTTACATCGTGTGCTCCACAAATTTCTCATGTTAAGTGTTTAAGAGATTTTTAGTGATACATAACATCGTCTGAGCTGTAGCGAATCAATTTGATTGGCCTTTTTGGGACCCTCCTTGCAGGGACTGCTGGTATGAGCAATTGTCAACAATTATTTATTGATACCTGAAGTGGATATTCTTCACAATCGCACAATAAATACCGCCCCCCCCCCCCCAAAAAAAAAAAAAAAAAAAAAAAAAAAAAATTAAAAATAAATAAATAAATAAATAAATAAATAAATAAATAAATAAAAAAAGAATAATAAAAAATAAATAAATAAATATATATATATATATATATATATATATATATATAAAATTCAAAAAATAATGCTCAAAATATAATGACACAAGTACCAAAAAAGATATGCAATACACATTTCAACAGAACTAAATAGATAATTCAAATATTCAATCTACATGTATATGTGCTAAGATAATCGCTCATTGATTGATTGTATTAGCCATGAATTTTTTAAAATTCATTGCGGGAGTTGACCAAAAATGTAAATTATTAAACCACAGGATAAAGCTTCAAATATCATTGTGAACCAGCAACAATGATGATGGTGGCGCTGACAATAAAGGCCCGGTCACACAGAGGGGACGCATGGGGAACGCACGGCCAGCGCATTGGAAATTTGCAATTTTGGCCAGTGCGTTAATTGTCGTGCGCCCAACTTTTGTCGAAGCTACAGCGAGCTGACACCAAATGCATGGCGTGTTGCTAGCGCGCTGAGCGCATACAGGGCGCATACAGTGCGCATACAGACCGTACACAGAGCGCACATGATAACAACTTCCACGAATGCACAGCGTGTTGCTAGCGCGCTGGACGAGTGGTCACACATAGACGACGCACGGCCCGCGCATTGGAAATCGGAAAAGGCCGTGTGCCTAACTTTTGTCATGATTTTGGAAAAGCTAGCGAGCTGACACAAAATGCACATCGTGTAGCTAGCGCGCTGTGCGTATACAGGGCGTATACTCCGCGTATGTCTGGTGCTGGTCTAGCGCGCTCAACGCATGTCTGGCGTGCCTTTGGCGTGTACAATCATACGTCGAGCTTGGCGCACGTTTTTGAGCATGCTCAAAAATTCCTGACGCACACAGCGAATGACGACGTATGCATAGCGTGGGTCCAGCGCGCTTGATGAACGAGTAACGAGTGACGACGCATGCCTAGCGAACGACAACGCACTGGCCCAAATTGCAAATTTCCAATGCGCTGGCCGTGCGTCCCCCATGCGTCCCCTCTGTGTGACCGGGCCTTAAGACAAAAGTTGGGCGCACGACAACGCACTGGCCAAAATTGCAAATTTCCAATGCGCTGGCCGTACGTTCCCCATGCGTCCCCTCTGTGTGAACGGGCCTTAAAAGCTGAATTCAAGGCATGTATACCTGATGACAAGAAGTGCTAAATACAAAAATCTAGAATAAATAAGTTTAGTCATTTCAGTTTACTTCTTCATGATGGACGTATAAATGATACTCAGCAAGACATGAATAACTGCTAGCATTTGAAAAAAAATATGAAAGGAATAACTTACCGTAACATGGGATGGAAGAACATCCTCTAAGCTGAGACTGTGAGGCAGGGGAGTTGATGGTGTAAAATGGGAAAGCCCTCTGCCCTCTCCAGATCTCAACACAGAGAAACCTATTAGTATCACAGGAGGTGGAGCTAAGATCAAGCACCACGTTCACACCTTCAATGGCTGACGTTTCTCCAGCGATTAGAGATACACTGCCCTGTTCTGAAGTCAGATTCGATGGCATGGCCCTTGGCTACGTGAGAAAAGAATGAAAAACGTTCATTCATGGTAACAATGGCAACACAAAAACAAAATTGTGAATGTTCATCAAATAAATATCATAAAACCTCAATGTTGGACAGCTCAACATATACTTTAACTTTCACATGAATGGCGTGTAAGTCAATTTGAAAAAAAATTCTCTGAGTGGATGTATTAGTACAGTATCCACAGAAGACATATATATAAAGGAAATGCATATTGAGAGGACTGAGAATCGGATATCTTTAAATGAAGTGAGGTGAATACACTGTGAATATACATTAACTTTGCCATCTTAATTTAACATATGCATAACTACTCTTCATAGTAATCCATCATGCCCATGTATATTATAGACATAGAATTTTGTTTTCTCACCGAAGGAGACACATTTCCATCTGAGTCAGTACTGGTGTAGAACTCAAAGTGCCACAGATCCTGGCCAGATACTGTAGCGGAGTCCGCGTCGACATTCACATACACATCAACGGTGACCTCTGACATGGGGTCAAAATTCCGCAGGACTTGGCCGGGGCCAATGGACAGATCAGCACCGTTGAGGTTTACACCTACATGAACATCAATGAAACAAACCAGTTAGAAACTAAGTTCAACATTCTTGATGATGATGAAATACCCCCATACTATTCCTAATTCAATTCTAGGTGCAATTCTTGTACGTTTAGGATCTTTTCATGAATATGGGAGTTATGTAATCTTCCCCCGGAAATTACTTTAGTGTGAATACCTCCTGCATCAGTTATGATAATTGTACTTACAGTGTAGCTACATGTAAGGTTCATAAGATTAATATTTATCATTCATTTAACAATTTTAAAACCTACCTGTTTAAAAACGCTTTCTAATGTCATTTAAACTGTATTATTGTATTCATCAAAATTTTATTACATTACTGTACTCTTATATAATTTGCCTTCATTTCTGTGTTATGGATGTATATAATGTTTGATTATTATTAATCTTTTCCTTATTTTGATATATATCTTTAGTTCATGAATTAGTTGTTATGTGTAATTTTGTTGTATTAATATTGTAAAGCGCATTGCTATTTTCTTCGAAGATGAAATGCGCTTTATAAGTCTAGGTTATTATTATTATTATTATTATTTACACAGTATATCGATACATCAATAGACAGATGCATTCATACAAAAAGACAAATTCAATAACAGAATTTTGAGATGACAGAAAACAAAAACAAACATAGTTATGTCATACATCAAACATACATACATGTACCATAAATCTCTGTGTATAAGGCGCACCCCTATTTTTGAGACTTAAAAAAAAAAAAAAAAAAAAAAAAAAATTGAAAAAAAAAAAAATCAGGAAGAAAAAAAATCAGGAAATTCTTTTTGCTTTTATTTGTTTTTTTGTTGCTTTTTGTTAAAACCAGATCAGATTCCGTCTTATTTCAGAGTTCGGAAATACTTTCATTTTATTACGAGGCACAGTTTAAGTGCTTGTGAACTAAGTTAGACCTTTGCACAACAACAACAAAATCCAGCAGTCAAAACGGCACTTTCGTTTGAACATATGGGACTGCAATGACTATACAATGGTACAGGACATTTCTAGAATAACTCCACACAACTTACCGACAATTTTATGTTGTATTGTTGATATGAAGACGAAAATAAACTGCATAACTTATTTTTCTAATAAAATCTGCCGGTAGATTTAGATCTAAATCCGTACCATATTGCCAAAAAGTAAAAGAAGGGACGTGAAAGATCGTTTCTTACGAAGCTAGCTGCCGCGCAACGCAACTGCGTAGGTTAAAATCGCAATTCCATATTACACCGCACATCGTGGTAGGATACCAAATCTGCCCCCGTGTAAGTGAGCTGCATGATACAGGTGAGTGAGCTGAAGACACGGGAGAGCTTCAGCCGGCAAAGTGCTTTGTGAAGGGCATAATTTATCGAGACTGAAAAAAAAAATTAAAATCTCTTCCCTTCAAATTAGGAACGTAATTTTACTTCATAAAGTAGATTCTATTCTTTGTTTTCATTATGAAATTCATGCTGAGACATAGAGATTTTTGAAAACCAATAAAAAGTTGCATTTTGAGGACTCAAAATATTCTGTACCTGTGTATACGGCGCACCCCGACTTTTGATTTTTCCCGACGGTAAAAAAAGTGTGCCTTATACACGGAGATTTACGGTATAGAAAGCAAAGTGCAGAGATGATAAGCTTAACATGTGTCTCTTCTTCTTTTTTTTCCTCTTACTCATCCTCTTCTTCTCATTATCATTATGATGACATCATCATCATCATTGTCATTATCCAGACCTGCCAACCTCTGGAGTTCAAAAACTGTATTCTTTCAGCCCAAAAGTTGTATTCTTAAAAATAAACACGGATTGTTACGCAGAAGAATTTTTTGATCGATCATTGGTTGAATATGCATGATTTCATCAGGACTGTTGTGTTCGATAAACCAATGAACATCCCCAAATTGCCAATGTGAGATGCTTGTAGGATACTTTACAGGACAGGGTAGGCATTTTGCCCATGAAAATGGCACACACAAAAAAAATATATTAATTTTTTTTTTTTTAAAGTGAGGAAAATCGTACTGTCGTATTTGCTTCTAAAAATCGTACAAAATACGACTAAATCGTACTGGTTGGCAGGTCTGATTATCGTCGTTATCATCTTCATTCAACAATAAGTAATATATTTTCATTGCATTTATTACAGGTGACCGAGCAGCAGATAAGAGTAACCTTGAGACAGCCATTGACCTACCTCTGCATGCGAATGGTTGACAGACCTGGAGGTCACCATATGCACCTACGCCCTCTAGAGTGTAATCTGGATTCACTGAGTCTCCTTTGGATAGGATCACACAGAGGTAGAGGAACTCGGTGTCGCACACCAAGTCGGTTGCATTGAGGTTTACTGATGCCGCAATGTCGATGCTCTCGCCGGCCGTTAGGTCCATGTTGGCATCGTCAGCGATGGATGCGGTCTTCCTGGAGATCGGATCGCTGCCGTTCTCGTAGCGGCTGAGGAAGGTGGTCAATGACCACAAGTCGTCACCGAGGGCACTAGCACCCATGGAGGAAGCCTCAACGGACAACTGCAGAGAGAGTTAACAGCCATTCATGTTACCACCTCAGTACGGTTAAGTATTCATATTCCACTTGGAATGTAAAGTAATAACATAGACTGAATGAATAAGTGTTACAGGCCATCAATAGATACCGTCAAACACACAAAATGTATAAAAACATCCATCTTTTTCAAGTATTTGATTTAGTACATTTTCCATGGAGTTGAAAAGTGCTCCACAATTACATAGGTAAATACGATTAGAATCAACAACTTATTTACAATGACAATGCTTTAGGTACCATTTGATTTGTTGTATTTCTAACTTGGCATCTTTAAGAACGTCAATGATTTCACCCATGTCACAAATACAACATAGTAATAAATAACTGGGACTGAGAACTTACCGTGAAGTTGACTTCATGTGAAGCAGTATCCTCCAGCAGTGGTACACCACTCACAAAGTTCACAAACAAGCTATCCACTTGAACACCTAAAGAATAACAAAAATATGACAGAAAGGGGGGCTTAGTGGGCAAAGTAAAGCTGATGGGTACAATTTTTTATTTATTTCTTCATGATAGTTTAATAGCATACATGTACAGTGAAACCTGTCTATAAAGACCACCCAAGGGAGACAAGAAAAGTGGTCTTTAAAGGCAGGTGGTCCTTATGTACAGGGTCCTTTAAGTACATGTTTCAATGAGAAACTATTTTCAAGGGAAACAAAAAATGTGGTCTTTGTAGACAGGTGGTCTTTCTATACAGGTGGTCACTTAAGCAGGTTTCACTGTAGTTCTAGTGTAACAGAGTCCTTTTGTAAAGTCAGATAAATACAGGTAGTATCAACTAAAGACTTGACCTGAAGTATGTGCTACCCAGAAGTCCAGAATTAACTGGAGTTTTAATGCTGTGAATAGTAATGTAAAAATGGAATGTGAAGAAAAAAAACTACCTGAATAAGAAAACAACTTTCAGAAGAACAGGCTAACATGAAACTTAAATGGCTAGCATGTGAAATAATGTATCACAAATAACAATCATGAAATATGAAGAAAAAAAGTTTTAGAACAAGCTCTCTTTTTACTGCTTACTCTGATAGATTTTAGAATTTGAAAAAGACTGATTTATCAAAATGAGCACAGCCCGATTTAAAAAAGAAAATCCTTTTTTCATTAAACTTTCAGGGAAATCCAATAAAACAACTTAAAAAACCCTTCTCTTCTCACTGCCTATTTAGGGAGAATCAAAAAGAAATTCGATACAAACGAAGTTACAAAAATGTTTTCATTATTTTAGTTAGTGATTATGTCACATTAGTTTCATGTTCTGTACTATGTATGATATGTTACAACTGCCTGAATTCTGTATTTAAACACTGTTGTAAATAGCTGTTATTTTATGATATGAACAAATAAAGTCCCTCGAAAGAGGAAAAATAGAGAATTTTTTTTTAGGGAGAATTAACAATCATATTTCACATTTAAACTGTATGATACATACCTCTGCACTGGAGTTGCACACAGTCCTCTAGAAGTGTAAGGTCTCCACCTTGTCCTTGAAGGGTATAACCAGGGTCTGGATTGGAGCCTTTCTGAAGGACACCGCATACCGATGTCATCTGGTCGCAACGAATCCCTGTGAGATCCGCAACCAAAGATGTGAAGGGGAAGTTTATCATGCCTGAACTCTCCACATTGCTTGTCGGTCCTGCGATCGGTCTCCTGCCCAACTCGATGTCCTGTCCAGTTCCATCCCTGGCTAAGATGAGAATTTCGAAGAGGTCGTTACCGTTGGCTATGTTTCTTGTCTGGGTGGCAAAGGTCGATAGGAGGTTGAGAGGTCCAAGCTCCATGTCGGGTTCACCACTGAGCAGAACAGGGTTGTTTATGACTTGAAGATCGGTTGATGCTACGACAACACCTGTGAGAGGGTTTAAGAGAGTAAACGGTACACATTGATCAACAACCATCAAATGGTATGGCAAGGAATCAATAAAAATGACAAGTTTTAAAGACCGTCAATACTACTGAGCCAGAAGGGATTAGACCACCCAGCCAGGTCACTGACAGGTGGCTATCTCTTCAACTCAGCTCAACTAACATAAGAAAAAGAGGATCATGGGGGACCAACAGGCACCGATTGGGGAAGATTTCTATATAGATGGAGCAAGTAGCTACAAGTAGGACAGTGGGGCTTTAAAAAGAAAACCGCCTATCTACCAACTTGTACATCAAGTGAAGAGAACACCAGTAATTATGCACACAGGTACCCTGGTAACAAGTAATGCTCTCTACGACAGAAGCCGATATTCTAAAAAGTGGGTAATGTTAGACCTTGCTTGAAATATTCAAATTCATGAGGTGTAGTTTTGTCCTCTCAGACTATCTATTCATCATGAGCCTAAGACAGATTAAACAAGACATTCCCAAAATAAAGTATTTGGAAACCTCCTCAACAATGCAGACAAATATTTTGTTGTACCACAGCTAGATTGTGGGTGCGACTATGAACTCACCTATACACGAAGATGTAACATCATAACAATCCACCAGAGTGCTGTCATCCGGTAGACCTTTGAGTCCAAAGTCTGGGTTTGCACCGCTGTTCTTCTTCAGCTCCACACACAGATACAAGGCTTCGTAGCAAAGCACTTCCGATGCATTAAACATCGGCACCACATTAATGAATCTTACATTACTACCAACAGAAAGAGGCTCGGTGGCAGATATAAGCGGGGCACGGGCAAAGGATGTGTTCCCGGTCGGCGAGTCCGATAGGTAGAAATCAAGGCTCCATAGATTAGTACCAGCAATGTCGGCTGAGTCAGGGTGAGGCATCACAGTGGCCTCGGCAATAAAATCAATGAGACCTTCGGTCTCTGTATAGTCTTCAGAGTTGACCTGAAGAGTGGTACTGGCAATAACAACACCTGCATGGAGAAAAGTTGTAAAGACACATTCAACATTTGATACTACTGTTTCTGTTTCGAAACTTAAATCTACAGTCAAACTGGTCTATGAAGGCCATCCAACGGAAACAGAGAAAATGATCACTGTAGACAAGTGACCTTTCTAGATAGGTTTTACATAGCACACATTGTTTTTCCCTCAAGGAAGATGAAATAAATGGCCTCTATAGATAAGTGACCTTTATAGAGAGGTAAACACTACTAGACAAGTTTGACTTTAATTCTGTTCTTGTTTTATTTGCTAATCCTAAGCTTGTCACTAATCGTCTCTTATACAACAGTACACTGTAGTAGACACTATGAACATGACGGACAAAGAAAGATGACAAAATATACAGTTCCTCATTCTACCCTCAACAATTGCTGTGGTAGACAAAGGAACATCCCTTCACTGCTATTATGTAAAAATGTGTAGAACAGGTGTCACATGCATATTCACATTTCTACACTGTTCTACACATTTTACATTATAGCAGTGAAGAGATGTTCCTTTGTCTACCACAGCTATTGTCGAGGGTAGAATGAGGAACTGTATATTTTGTCCTCTTTCTTTGTCCGTCATATTCATAGTGAGATACAAGCAATAAAATATATACAAACCCTACCTCTGCAGTCGACTGGTACACACGAGACAGTACTGCCGAGTAGGATTGGACTGGAGGAAGAGACTGCGTCATCCCTGGCTTGTAGCTCAAAGCACAGATACATCACATTCTCACACGTTCCAGGTAGGGTCAGGCTCAAGTCCAGAGGACCAAAGCTGATTTGGCCACCGGCAGGGAAGTCTTGATCACCCTGAAGCAAGAAGGATGATTCATAACACAAGCAAAATGACTTATCTCTTCTTTTCTCCCATGAAGGGTATGGATTGACTATTCAAATGACTCGGTTTGAAATATAGTTCATACATAGAAATGGGAACACAAGTGAAACAATATTAAAGGTACTATGTCCCATTTGCAGGCCAAACAAATGAAAAGGTTAAATTCCAACAGCATTTGAAAGATAATACTAATTTAGAACTTCCCTAAAAAAAGGGGGGCTTGAGGATGTCTTTAAGTGTGAAATAACGACTATTATTTGTCATATCGACTTAAGTGCTACCATTCAATCAGTTTAATTTTGGCCATTACAAGAAGTGGGTTATTGATGTAGACAAATGCTCATGTACCCTTTACAGCTCATTTGATGAATGTTATTCCAAAGAAGAAAAAAGCCAGTCAGTCACTCAATGGTGTCTGACAGTGAAGTCTAGCAAGTAAACGGGTTTCCTTGCATAATTTGAATATGAGGACACTGCTAACGTTTAAATTTCACAGATACAGTAGAACATACATTACATATTCATAATTCCTGCAAAGTTCTACAGAATTTGATTTTGGCTGCAAAAGGGACATAGTATCTTTAAAAGAACCCTGATTGACATGTAGCATGAGCCAGAAGTGCATTAACTCATATACTTCAACATAGAGTTAACGCATTCTAGCTCTACACAGACGATTTCTTTCTTTGATTTTTCACAATTTCAAGTCATCTAAACTGCCTACAACATCTTGAATGCTTGCCCCATGATAATATGGGCTGGAGCATAGGGAAATTATGTGTTGTATCACGATGCAATGTTTATTGGTCATGGATAAAAATAAAAACACATTTGGCATAAAATAATCTCTGGCTATTTTGGTTTATGCACAACACATCAGTTTAACAACATATCTGTATAGATAGCTATATATAGATAGATATATAATTTATTGTCTTCTTCCAAAGCAAAAGAAGAAACTTTCCTTCCAGGTGATCATACATAAAATTACACAACTTATACAAAATTTATAATATAAATACAATCATATAAAAATATAAAATGCATAAAAAGTATGAATAAAAAAATAATACATTTAATACAAATTACAAAGAACATAAGGATAAAGGGAAGAAGACAAAAAGGAAGAAAAAGAGAAGAAAATAGAATGAGGGGACTAAAGGAGAATGTAGCCCTGGGTAAAGTAACTATGTAAAGTATACATTCCTAGATAAAATGTTAAAAACAGCAGGACCATAAAATTATATTTTATTCAACCAGTTAAACATCTCCATTCTTGAGCCATGTGGCCATGGCGGCTTTACCTGACTGCCAGGAAGTGGTGTGACCGGTGTCCTGGCGATGACCTCTCCTGATCCATCCTGTGCGTCGCTAAAGAAGGCAGAGACGTCCCAGAGGTTGGTACCCGTTGCGCCCTCATTGTCGATACTTGATGAGAGGCCCAGATTCACAGCGGTCAGTTCATTTGCGCTGTTCTCGTAAACGACATCATCTCCAGGAGTGAGTGTAACATTGAACTCATCAATGTAGACACCTAGTTTAAACATGTAAATAGAAATCATTACGGCTCAAATCAATCTGATGATGCCGATAACAAGAATTTCAAATTCAAATCGATGTAAATTTTAGAAACGTATACCAAAATTGGAAGTGCCCTGATGATATTACACACGATTTAATTAACTGCATTAACATGATTGAACATGCATTATCCACCCTGGGGGGGGGGGGGTGTTAACATGATTGAACATGCATTATCCACCCTGGGGGGTGTTAAAGGGATCGTTTAACAATGTTAAATCTGAGATACACGGCCCTACGTGTTATCAGTGTCTGTGATATGATGTAATATTGAAGCCCTAAAAAAATCGCGCTTCAAAATGATCAAGAAGTGCCTCAAAAAAGTAAAAGTCTTTGAGTGACCGGTTTTACCATACTCGTTTTTCCCAATAGACTGTAGTGTTACGAAAACCGTCAGGCGAACGGTTTTCAAAATGTGTAATTCCAATCATAAATATCTTGATAATCAGACAGGCGATCGGCTTGTAAAAGTCACGGGGTTCCTGACTGACCTAAAGGTTTATAATTATCATTGCATCATGAGCTAAATCCACAATATGTTTTCAGAATCTGAGACAAAGTTACCGGATCCCTTTAACATGATTGAACATGCATTATCCACCCTGGGGGGTGTTAACATGATTGAACATGCATTATCCACCCTGGGGGGTGTTAACATGATTGAACATGCATTATCCACCATGGGGGGTGTTAACATGATTGAACATGCATTATCCACCCTGGGGGATGTTAACATGATTGAACATGCATTATCCACCCTGGGGGGTGTTAACATGATTGAACATGCATTATCCACCCTGGGGGGTGTTAACATGATTGAACATGCATTATCCACCCTGGGGGGTGTTAACATGATTGAACATGCATTATCCACCTGGGGGGTGTTAACATGATTGAACATGCATTATCCACCCTGGGGGGTGTTTCAAAAAAGCTGTTCGTAAAGTTAGGCATGACTTTACGAATGAGGATGCTCAATCATTTTTAACTGCATCAACTAAAGTTGAAATGTGCAGATGTAGATTAACATTCTTATTATTAGGCTTGAGTCGGTACGGTCGATCACACCGGGACCTGACCGTTGCCGTCGGGTCCTGGTTTCGGTTTTTTGAGAACCGACGCTCCGAAAAAAATAATGAAATAGGCCTATGTATGAAATTGCAGTTTTGCACACCACTAAAATCAATCCACCTTAAACCTTAAGTATTTAATTGTTACCAATCATATTCTAGCTCATCCTGAATCAATCCGAACTGCTGATATAAATATAAATATGGGTTGCAAAGCAGTTTGCTCCATGGGGTTGTTGTTGCCAGCTAGCTGCTAGCTAGCTACTGTACAGGCCGGGTCTCTCGGCAGATTAATAAATCAGGTTGAATGAAACATTAATGTTTGAACAATAAAACGACTTTCTAAAAAAAGTACTTCTTTACAACATACCGATCAAATAATTTTTAAAAGACAAAATAGATGTTTTTTCTTTGATTTTGAACACCGCATGCTTCTTTTAAAAGCTGAAAATTACTTGGTAATCACAAGAAGTTTTGATACGGATAGCTGTAGCAAGGCAAGTTCAGACTAGTCTCGGAAAAATGCGCAGTGCTCCTCGTTAGCTGGAATGCGTGCCAGAACAATCTGAATGTATCTGATTGTGGTAATTTTTGTTTGGGTTCGTTCTGGCATGCATTACACACTATGAACATGACTGACAAAGCAAGCGGACAAAATATACAGTTCCTCAGGTAGACAAAAGAACATCCCTTCACTGCTATTATGTAAAAATGTGTAGAACAGGTGTCACATGCATATTCACCTTTTTACATAATGGCAGTGAAGGGATGTTCCTTTGTCTACCTGAGGAACTGTATGTTTTGTCCGCTTTCTTTGTCTGTCATATTCATAGTGACAGCCAATTACGAGGAGCACTGCGCATTTTTCCGAGACTAGTCTGAACTTGCCTTGCAACAGCTATCCGTATCGAAACTTCTTGTAATTACCAAGTAATTTTCAGTTTTAAAAAAAAGCATGCGATGTTTAAAATAAGAGATAAATATTTATTTTGTCTTTAAAATATTATATGATCGGTATATTTTACAGAAGAATTTTTTAGAAAGCTGTTTTATTATTCTAACATTCATATTTTTTGACCAGATTTATTCAACCTGAATAAATCAAAATGGCGGCTCGAATGTTGTCTTTCTATTTCTGCCCCAGCTTTTTTACTTTTAGAGGTACGATAATGGCACTAAACATCGCCAATCATCGATGAAAATAATGTCAAATGGAAGAATATACCGATCTGAGCCGAGGTATGCATGTGTTAATTTATTTGATTGATAAAAAAAGGTCACTTTTAAGGGACATACTGATGATATGCGCTTTTTATAGAGGCAAGTGACAAATCCTGTGAGCTGATAGGTGCAAGGCCATCGGGACCCGGTTTATGAAAATCCCGACATGACTCAGGCCTACTTATTATAACAAACATTTTTAATGCAAAGTACATTTTTTGCCATAATTTAATTGAGGTGAATGGAAGTATAGTCACACTTTGTTAAAACTTTGGGAAAAACTTTGGGCATCCTATCTGGCACTTCATATTCAAGTCGTTCGTAAAGTCATGCGTAACTTTACGATCAGCTTTATGAAACACCCCCCTGGTAGGACGGAAGTTGCATGGTTGGTGAACCACAAAGTGAATAGTAAAACTAGTATAGTTGATATACAATTGTCCAATGCTATTATGTGATCAGGAATATCTATGGTGAAGAAGAAGTCGTTCTCACCTCTGCAGTCGAGTTTAAAACAATCCCTCAGACTGAGACCATTAGGAACGCCCCGCAATGAGAAATCAACTGAAGATCCGTCACTCTTTCTGATCTCCAGGCAGAGGTAAGGCATCTCAACACAACTGACGTCCTCAAAACTAAGATTGAGCTGCAAAACAAACATAACAAACATACTCATATAATCTCTTGTAGGATATCATGAAAAATGAATCTAGAGTCATATTGGAGAAAAAAAAAACTGTCCACAATAGCCTAGTTACACTAACAAGAAGATGCATGCTTACTACTTTAAATACTTCTCTCGAAATGCACAAAGATATCATCGCAACACAAGTGACACTGACACTAATAGACTTGGAGTTGGTGTTCCAGCCCTTTAGTCCTCAAAATCAGTACCAACAAAAATTTTTATCATCATGTATTATTCAAAACATATTCTTTCACATGATTGGTAATAAGAGCTTCCACTTCATTTTTTTGAAATTGGGGCGTTTCCAATACTGGTCTTTTCCTTTAACGCTTTTCCATTAACTGACCAAAGCGCTTGCAGTATTATTATAACCCCAGTCACTGGATTCATTTACAGTGCACATTCTCCACTCCCTGGGGAGCATTCACACCATACGTACCATCTGACTGGCAGGATCTAGTTCATAGGTTCCACTCGGCTGAAGGGACGTTGGAGACAAGTCTGAACTGAAGACATGATTGATTACACGATCACCAGACCCATCGCTATTTCGAGAGCCGTATATCAAGAAAGACCAGAGATTGGAACCACTAAGTGGTCTGCTCGTCTCAGATGAGTTTACAGTGAAACTAAATGTAATTTCATGGTTTTGATCTGCCTGCGCATGCTGTATACCCCCAGTCAACGTTAATTCAGTGGCGGAAACCTCCACTCCTGTAGCATGAGATTATATGGATAAAAGAATACAACAACCATGTTAAGAGTTAAAAAAAAATAAATAAAATAGAATGACTATATTACACATAACATTCAATGTTCAAGTTCAAGCTCGTTTATTTACACTCATCATTAAAAATTCAGAATATATAATTAAATACGGAATAATCAAACATAAAATATTATACATCCAACAAAACACAAAAACAAAAAAAACATTAAATAATGGGAGTGAAGGGATGAGCTAAAAAGGAGTATGGTCCTTATGCTAGAGCCCATCCCTCATATATAATATTAATGAAAGGCAAATTAAATGTTGTACTATTGGAAGCATGGGGGAAAATGGGGGGGAACAGGGGGGGGGGGGTAAAGAGCCTGGTGAGTGTGTAATGTGTAATGTAAGGTCAAACCTGAGGTGAAATAAGATGTGCATCTCTTCTTTGTAACTTCAAATTAGATATAAATTAAAGACTTGAGAAGAATTTTTTTTTTTACCATGGCAAGCAACTTGTTGCCCTGCGTATCTTGCTGTTGGTGGTTGGTATTGCAAGGTGTAATCAGACGCTGCTGATGTATTCTTCTCAAATTCAGCACAGAGGTAGATATCCTATATTAGGAAGAAGAGGTCAGTTAAATACATATGAGAGGTGTATCAACTGCCCTGAACCCAAAATATTTTGTCTGAAAGCCATAAAATTGTTTATGCAAAACTTGCTATGTTGCAAACATTTTATCATAGTAGAGTAGTACACTCTTGGGCCCATCAAGTTTTTTAGCCCCATACTTAACATATTTCTTCTATATCCTACTCTGAAGTTTTTGGAACATAATTTATAAATGATACTGCCAGTGTCTTTTACTTTGGCTTGAAGCATTTGTGCCTGGAATGCAATAAAAATGATATAGAATTTGAAAAAATTGAAGTGCACCAACCGTTTCTGGGCATATAAGTCGAGTCAAATTCAATTGAACTTCCAGATTCTCAAACACAAGCCGCTGATTATCAACCAGCGTTTGGTGATCAACGATCCCAGCAGGAACTCTGTCTCCAAAGTCATCTCCCAAGCAATCCGATTGACCATTGTAAAACACTGTAACCATCCAGGGGTACATCTCAGTACCCGTGCTCGTCCCAAGGTCAGGGTCGTGCTCGATGGTCACAGTGATGTTTACAAGTTGATCCTCACGCCCTTCAGTTGCATCTGGTCTAGGACTTTGGATCGAGTTTTGTGTAATGACAATACCTGAGAGAGGAAGGAAGGCTTACTGATTATGATTTGAATTTGGTACATACCATGTACTTTCCACAGACTCGGGCCCGAGGTGTCTCATATCAGCTTTTCAATATCATGAATTAAAAAGGATCAGTCAATTCATTTTGTTGAATACAACTATTTTGCACCACAGATTATTTAGTATTTGTGTGCTCCACGGTCACTAAAGCTAATGCATGTATAAATAAACAACAATTTAACCAGCTTAAAATAATGAAGCAAACTTATCAAAACCACTGTCAAGTTGTCAAGGCACAGATAAAAGTAGGGAGAAAGGGTAGAGAGCAGGAAGTATGCTCTATCAATCAAATTTGAATCAAATGACATAATAAATCAACAAATGAAATGTTGAATTCTAATATAATAAGTAAATATGTCACCTTCTTAAAAGTAATGTTGCAAGGCTTATGTTCAGAGCACAACACCTAAAACATTAATAAATTACCTTGGCACCTAGTGTTCTCTTTACAAATGATGTTGGAGTTATCATTGAAGGAGACATTGAATTCAGGACTAGGGGCGTCGCCCTTAGCAACCTCGACACAGAGATAAGGCATACTGGCACAGATCACGTCCTGTAGATTAAGAGAGGCCTCAATGTTCAACAATCTGATCGTTTCTCCAGCAGAAATACCTGAAAAGAAAAAAGGATGAGTTTCTTTTTTATTGTATGTTCATTTTTATCATCATATATCAGGAGGGTGTTTCACAGAGACTTAGATTGACTTTAAGTTGGACTTAACTATGGCAGGCCGTTCATGCCACTGTTCGCTCTCACCATTACTGGCATTGGTCTGTCAAGGGACGTACAAATCATGGTCACAAATCTACAGCATTTTACATTTTTTGATAATTCATTATTGAAGGAAAAAATATCATCATCATCATAATCATTGTACGTTGTCCACGTTACTGTCATAATTATCATCACCATTGTAATTATCACCACCAACACCACCATCACCATCATTATCAAGATTATTACTGTCATCATCACCATAATCATTTTCATTGTCATTATCACCAATGACATCATCACTACACATCTTCATCATCATCATCATAATCTACACCACTATCACCAATCCTTTCAATAATAATAATAATAATACATAAGATTTGTTTGGCACCAAATCCACTTGACAATCTAATGCTCAAGGCGCAGCTTGTGCAAAGGATGAAATACATGATAAATATATACAAAAGTGCAATAGGAAAGGTACAGACATGAAAGGTCATCAACTGTATCATAACAACTGATAGCATTATTTTTGTCACTACAATGATCAACCTCATCTTGACAAAAGAATACTTAACAAAATACTCTTTAAAAAAATCCTTTATTTCCGACAAGCCCGCCAGTTTACATATAGATTATTGAATATAGAGGCTTGTGTAGGTACTATCTTATATACATATATATTTATGGTGTGTATGTGATATAACAAATAAACTGCACTGTTAAGAAACACTAACAAAGCCCATGAATGTTTTGCTTACGATATTATTTTTCAAAATTATCTTAAAAGATAAATAAATATAAAACGGAAAAAAATGAATAATAACAATACAAAAATGAGAGATATAACATGTGACATAAAGTATTTTGGCGACAATAGTCACAACTGACTAATCGCCAATAAGCCAAAACACAACAACAACATCATCACAACAGCTAGGCATCCTAAGCTGATACATCGCGCTTACCGATTTCATCTTGGGAGGAGAGCAATGGAACTGCAGTATCCGCAGCAACACTGTCATTACCCTCAGCGTAGCCAGACATGTATACCCTAACAACCTTCCACAGCTCTTCTCCTGCTATGGAGGCCGAGACGGGACCCGCAGTCAGGCTAACAGCAAAGCGCAGGTCATTCATCGTGTACTCAAGGATGTTGGGTGGGTAGAAGATTTCATAGTCACTACTGTCAATTTCAGTAACTACATGATAAAAATAAACAATGAAAAACAGATAATGATTTAAGAAAAGTTGTAAAGAGCTACATTCCAGCTACCAAGTACAAAATATTAACTAAAATAAATAACTTTTAAAAAAACGTTACTTTTAAAGCGCTTACAACTGAAGTCTTCAAATGTTTAAAGACCCTATCCGATAAAAATACATCTTGATATATGGAAAACTGAACAAATGTAGAATGCAAATATAAAGGAATAAAAAGTATTTACCCTTTCATTATTGCACAAAAGCAAATTAAAACCTCATTTTCCGCACCCCTCCAAATTACGGGTCGACAGGGGTCAAATTTGCCAAAGTTACAGTGACAACATAACATGTGGACCCGATCAGTTCATCTATATAGCTGAGGCGATGAGCCATGCTTAATTAATGAAAAGTCATTGTGAATATGCGTACTCCACATAAGATGCTGCCATCAAGTCGATAGCAAGTTTTTAGGTCGACAACTTCCAATTTTCAAAGCTATCGATTTTTGAGTGTTCAGCATTCCGTTGATATATTATTCACCCATTTCATTTTTCATTTCGGATCTGGTCTTTAACTGACCTAAGATGTTGTAAAGTCATATACACGTCTAGACATACCAGTAATATCATTCATTTACAAATATTTTCAAGAGATACCTATGATATCAATGAATACATGCATATTGTCCCGATGTTGATAACTTAACCAATGACCTACATATTGTTTTTGGCCTGGAATGATATCAGTGTACAACTACATGCAGTATCCTCTGCTGACCTAAACTTTCCTTTGACCTTTGACCTAGAAACTAACCTTTGCATGGGATGTTCAGGCATGCTTCAGAGGTTGAACTCAGACTGAGAGTGAAGTTTGAACTTGGATTGGTATTGATGGACACGCAGAGCTCGACCATTGCATCTGGGCAATAGAAGCTGGACAGGTCAAGCGAGAGGGCCACATCTGTGAAAGTGGTTGATGTGCCAGCGACTATGTCCATGTTGGCGTTGTCGGTAGAGAGCACGATAGATTCCATCCTCTCCACCTGTCCTGCTGATTTGATGATTGTACTCATCATCCAGAGGCTGTTCCCGCTGGCATTGCTCCATGTTGCGTTGGGTTCGACTGTCACGTTGACTGACAGTATCTGATTGGCGGTTCTCTCAATGATGCAAGGAGGATCGATGGGTGACAACGTCATGTTATCAAATCTCACATCTAAAAATACAATTAAGATATAATGCATGTGTTTATTTGTTCTTATAATGCTTACACTCATAGCCTACATTAACAGAACAGTTAGCTTAATTGTACCCAAAAAAAATCAGCATCATGAAATACAGTATGGAACATGGCAAAAGAGAAATTCTACGGTATACCCTTCAATGAAAAATGGTTGAATAGCATGCCTTTATAAAGAATAGATCCAATCAAACTAAACAACGTACCTCGGCAATCTACCATCTCACAAGCAGTCAGTAGGCCATTTTCAACCATCATTGCGCTTGAGTCGAAACCATTCAGCGTGTAAGAGGCATTGGCAGGCTTGAAGAGTTCAGCACAAAGGTAGAGTCCCCCTACTGGACAGACAAGACCCTCTGTACTGATCGACGCCGTGGCGCGAAGGATGTTGAGTTGTTGACCAGCGATAAGGCTGGTGCTTTGTGAAGCTGCTGGAATGTCTGCAGGGTATTTATCACCAATTATCCCAGAATCGGTCATATCATCAGAAAGGAAGAGCTACGGTAAGAACAATAAGAACAAAGCTAGCATGAAAATGTCAAGAAATGGAGTTCTTGGATGGCAACATTACACTTGCATGAGCTTTATATCAAACTATGATTCTTTATGGAAGAAGTGTGCTCTTGTATGCTACAATAATATCAGTGAGAAATTGAAAAACCATCGATGACTTCCCAAGAAAACTGAAAACAGACCTAATGATAGCACTTTCTCATGAATATTTTGTGTCAAAAGCACCGTGAGCATCGAATTCGGTAGAAATGTTGCTCATTATGAATTTCAGCGTTAATCTTTTAATTTTTATTACAAATGTCTTTGTAAATCGTTAAAAACTGATAGACGCAATGACAAAGGAGCATGTCTGTCATTTAAATCCATTCTAGTGTGCAAAACATACAAGAACCCCCTAACCAACCATCCTTCCTTAAAAAAACTAGTAGTTTGAGAAATTATCTGACCTTGACTTCAAATATATCTTCTCCGCTGACGTCTGCACCCGATGCATCGCTGCCGTAGTCTACATCAAGTTCAACTTCAAATGCTGAGTTACCCTGTAGAACGGGACTGCCTTTAGTGATAGCTTCAATACTACTGTTGCTGATACGTACGCCTGCAGGAGAATAAAAGCCAAATCAATCAGTCTAGCAAGCATTTCAATACTACTTATAGTCGGCAAATTGTAATTTCACATTCAAGCTCATGAAATTCATATGTAAGCACAAAGATATATAATGAATTTATACAATGTATAATACGCACTGGTTTTTACGTGTTGTACATGCAAAATACAGTAAAAGACAAAATACATATTACACTAATAGAAATAAATTAATGCTTTGTAAAGGTAGAGGAAAACCAAATAAAGAAAGGAAATAAAAAACCTGGTCCTCCCACTCAATAACTGAATCTACAAAAAACATGTGCATGCAGGGTTCCTGCTTTGTAGAATGAAAGGAATGCATCTTGAAAAGTAGATTACTACAAACTGTCACCTAGAATCTTAAGAGAATATTCTACATGCGAGGATAGGGTTTGCAGCGTGTAATGGCCTCGGTCCATTTGACAAGATTACTGCCAGCCTTAACAAACCGACAACTCTGAAACATATTTGAAAAGTACTCATTACAGACTTCAAATGCTCACAAGACTGTTACTTTCTTACCTGTGCAGTTGACAGGGGTACAGCCATAGAGGCCTTCAAAGTCTGAGGGCACACCGTTGAGTTTGAAAGGAGGGGTCGCACTAACACCTCTCTGGACCTCAACGCAGAGATGTTTTATGTTCTCACAGTAGCCACTCGAAAGGTCAAAGGAAACAGGCACAGATAACACAAGACTATTGCCTGCAAGAAGTAAATCATTTGAAAAATATGAAATACAAAACGAAAATAACAATTAAAAAAACACATTGCAAACAATATTGATAAAAAAATGAGGGGGCATCACTACAAAAAAAAGAAAACAATTTGCATACATTTTTATGAATACCGGGTATGCAGAACATACATGAAGACTCAAGATATGGTGTGTGTGAATGCATGAATAAAGTTAATATATGAACCGACAAATCCAGAATTTCCAGAGTCGATATAATGGCACGAAGGACATTCTGAATTTGGAGGTGAAATATATGTTATACTGATGCAATGCGATTCAATATTTGTTATATAAAATTGAGGGTATTTGCCATCTCAGGCCTTGCTTCTTTGCACTATCGATTACATTAAAATGCGCACAGCTAAGACAATGCAAACAATGGGGTATGTGCAGGAAAGAGAGAAGCGCAGACTACTTTATTTTTGTATGTGTTATACCATGCAAAAACAGGTTGTTATAATATTGCATGGTTGTGCAAATATAACAAAATATTGAGAGTCGCATGACTTTTTTTTCAGTCAATAGGATACTTGCTATGACTCTGTATTTTACATTATATAATATTCTCTAACTACACATACCTGGTATGATTGATGTCGGTGGTACGGAACTGATGTTTGCAATGAACCGACCTGTTCCACCAACCCCCAAGCCATTCATCTGTGAATTGCCAAAGACTTCAACACGCCATGCATCCATTGCGTTAGACAGGGTGGATGACGTGTCGTCTACGTCCAGAGTGACCATTAGCTCCATGTCGGTAGCCTGGCCTTCTGTCGGTGATGCACCAGGGGGGAGTTGTACTGTGGTACCACTTATATGAACACCTGATAAGCAGAAACAGTTTTAAATACTTTAATAACTTGCCATTCGAGAGGCCTAAAAGCCATGAAACATGACAAGTTTATAATGACAAAGGACCTGGAAAAAATTGAAATATCCATACACTAGAAAATGATCCAAAATTCTCTGGGACAGATATGTAAACCAAATTCTACAATTATTGTGGAAATTTGCAGGCATTACCTGTACACGTGTATAGGTAACACGCCGTCTTCTCCCCAGTCACGGAGAACACTTGAGATGCGGAGGCGGCCCTACGTATGAGACGGCCGCACACGTACTGCCCTTCCTGGCATGTGATGTAAGGCGAGAGGTCCAACGTGGTAGTAACCTTGAAGAATTCAATGGTCTGACTCGCAGACAGGGGTGCATTGGTGGTGCTACCGATATCGCCAAGGGTCACCCTTGTGCCACTGGTGTCCCCGTTTTGGCTGTTGCTACCGTAGATCTCGATGTCCCAGAGGTTGGTGCCAGAGATGTCTGAACTGACGGTGTCGGCTGTGAAGGAGAAGTCCAACTCAACAGCATTGCTTGGGTTACCTTCCTGGAGAGTACCCACCTGATTGGATGTGACGCTGCTTAGGATGTGCACACCTTAAAGAGACAGCCAAAGACATTTCCTCATCATTAAACAACTCATTATTTAAGATAATCAAATCCTTTTTTTTTACATGACAATGTAGGATTAAAAAGCAGTATAATATGTGCAACATAGCAATAAGTAGTTTCATAATGAATATTTGAATAGAGCAAGAGTACAATGAGAGCCAACATTCTTAAAATATACAACAAAAAACATATCAGACAATCATATTCAGAGGTCTTTTGGTAGTTTGGATCAGTTTTGAAGCCTTCAGTCAAATGATATCACAAATTGATTCCATTTCTCATCACAGGAAATACAACAGGAAATACATTAGGTCTTACTTTAGAAATCTTCAGTCCATCTGATCAATCATACAGATATCCATGAAGTGATGATTACAGTTGGGCATGTCCAAGGTATCTTGTCCCTGTATCCTGTCCCTTATGCTACCAACAACAATATCATTTTATGGTACACCTACTGATTCTAGCAAGTTCACAGCCCTACTGGAGCTTAATTGACCTTGCACTATGTCAGTTAGGATTCTGGACATGAGACTTACCTCTGCATTGCACAGGCTGACATGTTAGAAGGTCACCTTCTAACGTGAAATCTGGAGAGGCTGCATCACCTTTGTCCAGCTGGACACAGATATACACGATCTCACTGGCTGGACACTGCTCCAAGGACGACAGGTCTAGGGTCTCTGCGATGTTGCTGAAGGTAATGCTACCGCCAGCAGCTAAATCCTCGTTGATGGACACTGTTGTCAAATTGACAGTGACCTCCAAAATGGCATTGGAATTCTGTGAACAGTGAAACGAATTTGGTGGTCAACTTTGTCAAAATGGTGTAAATTGGGCAATGTTCCTCAAGATTTATTGCGGTTCTAATGATACTTTAGCACCTTCCTCATCATCATTAGCGGATAGAAGTTACTCTGTCACCACATACCTGTTCATTTCCCAATGTTATTGTGAAAAATAGCAATTAGCCAGTTCTTGAGAGCGGTGATAAGATAAGATTATATAAGCAAATAAGATTAATCCTTACCGTATCTCTTCTTGCTTCATTTTCAACACAGTTATCCCTCTCGCAAACCAAGATGGTGAGCTTCCAGAGGTTATCTCCATCGATACTGCTACCAGCCATAGAGGAGGTTGCCGTGATGGTGAGGTTCACATCATTGGACTGGCGTTCCAAGACAGGGTCACCACTATTCACTGTTAGATCAAGGGTGCTGATCATAACACCTTCAAGACAACATACATGATAATGCATTCAGCAGAGGTGATAGTGAGCACCAAAAAAAAAAAATGTTTTTCTTCCCTCAACCACGCCCCCCTTGAGTAAAAAAAAAGAAAAGAGGATTCGGGGAGGGGGGGGGGAATGGCATCTAACAACATTCCCCCCTATTGAGTAAGAAAAATGGCAAATAATAGGGAAACATAGGAAAGAATAGAGAAAATAAGGGAAAAATCAGAAAATCAGGATAAAATCGGCAAGAAAAAAAAATTGGGAAAAAAAATCAAAAATATCAGGAAACCGATTTAAATTGGGTTTTTATCAGGCCTGATTCAGTAAAAAGTATATACCCTGCAAAGAAAATATTTGTGATGCTGGCAAAAAGAAAAACAATGAATAAAGATCATTCACGCCTGAATGAATGGATGAATGAATGAATGATTAAATACATAACATTGAGCTGTACTCACTTTTTGTCAAAACTCTCAATTTCTTAATAATACAGTATGAAGTAAGATTCATTCTTTCTTTTTTTATATACACACAGACTACCTTATAAACTATTTATTTTTTCATCCTATCTCTTATGCAAGATTGAAAGCTCCTTAGTTACATGGATAATATCTTCCTTGTTTTCCCTTTTATAACAGACATGTTTGTTTAATGGTTACAAATATATCATCCTTTAGTCTGCCATACTGATGATTGAATCTATGCTTAATTTGTTCAATTATTTTTGTTGTACAATTAATATATAATTAAGAGTCCTAATGTTATATTTCATAGAGAAATCAATATTAATCAAACCAATTGCATGTCTGATTCTTTTTTAAGTTGCAGCAAAAACAAAACGCTGGCTTCCACATGAAACCAATGTTAAGAGCATGACAAGAAATATCAGGAAATTAAGATATTTATGTAACATGAGAGTATAAAGTGTATACTCACCAGTGCAGTCAATCTCAACACAAGTTTCCAGTGGTATTGGAGATATTGAGAATTGGGGGTTAGATATGTCCCTTGGCATTAACTGAACACACATGTAGAACTGGTTTGTGCTTGGACACGTGAAATTTGTCAGGTCCATATCCCACACCAGACCAGAATACTCGACGGGGCTTCCCGCTGTTACTGTTGACGTATCATCAATTGGGATCTGTGTTTCGCTGTAGCGTTCTCCTGTTCCATTCATGTACAAGCTTCCATAAACGCGAACTTGCCAGAGGTTGACACCGTTAGCAATATTGGTACTGGTTTCTGTGGTGTTCGCGCTGATGTTGAAGGTTATTCGGTGCATGGATTCAAACTCTACAAAACTTGTGTCGGTTTCTCCTGCCACGATCAAATTGTCTAATTGAACGCCTAAAAAGCAAACGATATTTGAGCTTTAATTAAGGCAATAATCTCACAAAAATTCTATACTGCGTTATTAAACATCACATACTCTCATGCAATATCAAAATATCAATCAACAATTTGGGACTTAATCAAATCATCCCATTTAATAAAACACATCAGTCTTGTCAAAGGTAATTTTTTTCTCATTTTGGTCCAATTTGCTTCTGAAGTTCACTTGCAAATAATGATAGAGGAAGCATGCATATACTGAGGTATCAACACTTTGATTTAATTGTCATTTGATTTTCAATTACTACCCATGAAACAGTCAGGTAAAGAAGTATGAACAATCAGAACTTCTTTTAAACTTTCTGCAAGCAATGAAATTAAGACATGGACGCAAAATGATGTGCTCTGTTACCTCTGCATTGGACGGAGACACAGTCGGTACCATTAGGCTGAAAGGCAATGGAGACAGCAGGGTTGATACTAGGCGATGTGCTGACTTCCACACACAGCTCCTCCATCCCTCCCTCAGGACACACAAAGTCAAAGGTTCCAAATTCAAAGAAGAGGTCGCTGAAGGTGAGAGTATCGCTCTTGTTCAATCCCTGGTTCAGTTGCTCAGGGGTTAAGGTGGCAACCACTCGGAATTCCACTGGGTCAGACTTAGGGTAGAGCTCGATCTGCCAGATGTTTGTTACAGCTCCCTCTGCGATCATAATCAATGCACAAGCAACATTAAAGGAACAGGTCAAACAGACAGAGACAATTTTACCACCCCCAATTCTCTCTTGTCTTTCTCTCCTCTTAAAAATAAGATATATCACTAGTTCTTCTTTAAAAAGATATGACATACATGTACATGTAGTTTGTCATCAATATTTCCCTTTTCTCTTTTTTCTCTTTCCTGTCAAAACATAAGAGTCATGTAAATTGTCATTTACGCATACACTCCCCATATAACGTTCATTATAATTCAATGAACTATTACATACTTCTATGTAACATATTTACTGCAATATTTTCCATTTGAAGCATAAAGTCAAATTGTACCCTAGGACTTGAATAAGACTCTAAGCACAGTCAATCTCTTTTATGCAAAATCAAACAAGCCCAATATATTTGTATGCCAAGTATACAGCAACATAGGAAGAGAATGGGAGATACAAAGGAGAGTAGATTAAAATAAAACAAAATTGGACTTAAATTTAAGACTGGGTAAAGACAAAAAATATAGGTGAAAAAAAATGGAGAAGATGAAATAAACTGGAAGAAGAAGCAATGGGAGAAAGTCATGAATAAAATGGAGACGAAAAAAAAACCCAACTTACTAATAACAAATGAGTAAACAAAAATTTATTAAGACACTATATGCCTGTACAGCATCTAGTAGGAGTAGGAGAATACACCAGACGGTGGCCTGCACTTACAGTCAAGAAGAAGAGGAACATACACGGAAATGAAAGACAAAGAACACAATGAATGGGGACACAAAGAGCAGGTTTTGTACTTACCATCTATCGCAGCCGATACATTAGCCACAGTCAAGGTAACACTAGCAATCACATTCAGGGGGTTAGGATCGGCTTCATTGAGAATGACAGATGATGGATTGGACAGCATGAGGTCTACACCATCAATCACCACACCTGTAATTTACAAAGACAAAATATATTGTTTAATCTGCATATGGTTAGATATATCTGCCTTTAAAAAAAAGTGCAGTGGTAAAATTAAACGTCCAGGCCCCATCGCATAAAACTTTGCAGTTAATGGTAACTTCCATGGAAACCTTGATTTTCTTGATTGATGTTGCCATGTTAGTTAAAGATGAAGTTGAGTTCTGGTCTTGCGATTGCATTATGAAAGAAAATGTGTGGAATCGACCAGAAAAGGTTGATCATCTAGCATATAATAATTTGTGTGTATTGCAAGGTTCTGGAATCATCAAAATGATAAGAAATTTGGCCAAGTCTTGGTAAAGTTACAAACACTGTACACAGAAAGATGTATATAGGACTACACGAAGACGTGGTGTAAAAATCTGACCCTGGATTTTTACAATGTTACATGACATATTTAGAATATGAAGGCATTTGAAGAGCCATGCTTTTCAGGGAACATGTCTTATCTGATGTTCTTCCACACTTGCATAATAACAAATTATTTTTCACATCTTCCCAGAACTCAACCTTCTCTTTAAACAAAAAGTGCAGTGGTAAAATTAAACGTCCAGGGCCCCATCGCATAACACTTTGCAGTTAATAATAACTTCCATGGAAACCTTGATTTTCTTGACTGTTGATTGATGTTGCCATGGTAGTTAATATTGATGGTAAAGTTACCATCAGTGGTAAGTTTTCTGCAACGGGGGCCCAGAGCTCATTTTTTTTTAATATAACTCGGTAAGCATGGAATTAGTTGAGGCCTATATTACTCAGTAAGGTTTTATGAATATGGGCCCTGGAGGAAATAATGATAATAATAATAATAGTCAAAAATTACACTCCTGGCCCAGTTGTGTGGAAATTATATAACGACACAAGGGTAGTGTGCCTTACATACCTTCATGTTCTGACACAATAATAAACGGACGGACGGACAACCCGAAAACATAATGCCTCCGGCTACTTCGTAAAGGAGGCATAAAAATCATCATCCTTTTATTATTGCTGGGTTGGTTTCCGTGAAGGTGGTTACAACACCATGAAACATGAACACATAATTGATGAATAACTGATGATTTATTTTAATCGACTGCTATAGAAAACAAGAACATGTTCATGGGTATGCTTAGAGGTAAGGAACCAGGGGACCTATGACAACTAAGCCCATCCAAGGGAATTGATAATGAGGATTAATGGCATACTGAAGGGCACTGGAGCATTTTTTTAAACTTTGCAAGTATACCACTGGATATTTTCATAATTCATCTGTCAGTTTGTCAAATACACTGTAAAGACAGGAGCTTTCATGACATTGAACTTTTGCGAACTGCTAGGGACGGTCATTTTCACAGTAAGAAACATTCACAAATTGCAAAAATGCAAAGTTGCATCAATTATTTTGCAGCAGGACACTTTAAATATTTTGATCCACTCGTGAAATTTGTGAACATTTCATGCATGCATACGGTTCTTGGATCAGTAGCAATCATAAAGAGGAACCATGATGGCAAAAAAAGGGAATTTCAAGCAAAAAAACAGGAAATCATTAAAACAAAAATTACAACCACGGACGACACACTTCCAATGCAAAAATGTCCGTTCCTCATGCTGATATTTCCATATTAGGACCTATAGTTAATCTACAAGTACGTAGTTTTTTGACGTTGTGTATTTAGTACCATCAGCGTTTTTTTGTTGAGAATATTGATGCCTTTCACTTTTTTGTTCTCTTTCTTTAACTATTTGTAATTTCGTACTCTTCATAAATCTCTATTGAAGTTTTCTGTTGAAGTAGTTATAAAAATTTTAGGGATATAGGGATACGTGCGGTATCTGCAAAAAAAAACATCATATTTTATGAAGAAAAAACGTACTACCGTAATTTGGAGAAAAAAACAGAATAATTTCCGGGACAAACGCAATGGTTGGCAGCTCTGACTTGACCATATCAAGCTAAACTGAACCATCTCTACAAGATACTAGGATTCTAATGTGCGCAACTATAAAGAACCAAGCTGTCCTCAATCTTGGATCCTGACAGGACAAAATGATTGTGTATTTTGGCGTGATAGCGAGAGATTAGTTTGTTGCCTCACCTGTACAGGTCACCTCATGCCAATCCCTGAAGCCCTGCATTGGACTCTCCAGGGTGAAATTGATGCTGGCGCCTGGGTTCATAGTGATGAGGACACACAGATACTGCATCTGAGGGCAGGTACATTGAGACATATCCAAGGAGGCGACGGCACTGTCTGTGGTGACCATCTCTCCTCTGGTGACGTTCCCACCGCTGAGCACAATAGGTTGACTGGATGTACAGGGTGTATTACCACAATCCATCCTGGTGTTGGTGAAGACGGTAGCCTGCCAAAGGTCCGCACCGTAGATATTGGTGCTTACGTCGCTGAACTGGAGAGAGACACTGAAGGTTACATCGTGGTTGTCCGTGCGCTCAATCAGGAGATCACCTTCGATGAGGTTCAAATTGCTACTACTTATGAGTACACCTGAGGAAAAAAATTGAATTAAAATGAAAGATGATGAGTGTTGGTAAGAGAAAAAGAAATTTCTTCATCTTTTATTTGGATACGAATCATGAATGAATGGATTTATTACATCCGTATTAATCAGTGACACAGCAGGTTAAGATCTCTGTGTGTAGATAAGATAACTATGACCTGCTTCATATTCCAGCCCACACCAATAGACTATTGCACCAGTAGGTGAGAGGGGTAAAGAGAATGTAGTTCTAACTGAAAAAATGGCAGTCTAGCTTTGATCATACAGATAAAATAGTAGGCAATAACATTGAGTGCAAGCTTCTCACCTCGGCAATCGACGGGAGCACATGCGATGTTGGCATTGGACACTTGAAGGTCCAGATTGAAAGGTGGCATGGGCATGGTTCCAACATCAACCTGAACACAAATGTAGCTGAAATCACTGCAGCCAACTCCTTCAAGATCCAGCACAGATTGTACCCCTTGAATGGTGAGGGGTGTGCCAGCTACAAGTGGACTGCCGCTGGATGTGTATGTGCTTGTAGTCTGTCAATACAAATCAAGAAAAAACAAAGAAACGTTTCTTGAGATACTAGAGTAACAATCCAGAAGATTGGAGAGGTAGACTAAAATTGATTTGTCATATACCATAGTATTTACAGTTATATGTAGTTTTTATCATTACTACACGATTAAAATCAGTTAATATACACTGTGTATCAAATTGGATGCATAATATAAATGGTATATGATGCATTTTATTATACAATATTGTACCAATCGTATGATGCATTCAATAGATAGAAACTTTCACATCACATACACAGAATCTTTTGAGTGGTCCAGATATTTTTAAAATGTTACATGACAAGGAATTATTGAATTACAACATTTTATATTTTGCAAAACTTAGTTGCAGAGAATTTTGTAACCACAGTTTGTGATTTTACATTGGACAAGTATATATTGGACATCATATATTATACATATGTACATGTTATATCCTGTGCCTCATGTATCCTATTTATACAACTGTATGTTTATCTGTTAGGCCCTGCTTGAGTTAAAGGGGAAGTCCACCCTGAAATTAAGTTAGTTTTAATAGGAGTAGAAAAATGAGAGAAACAAGTCAGTGAAAGTTTGAGCAAATTCCGATTAAAAATAAGGAAGTTAGGATTTTTGAAGTTGTGATCAATCAAACACAAATTGGCAACTCTATGACGTATCATGCAAGCTCAACTTCCATTTGCTCAGTACTAAAAAAATCTAAAATTTTCATTTTCCCTCAAGAAAAATTTCAACCATACATGCACCCTAAATATAATAATTGCAAATATATTTCTATACTCCCCCTGCAAGGAACAAATATATATTCCGTCATCAATAACGAAGAAAAAATGATTTTATGGAATATTATGCACAAAGCAAATGAAGGAGAGCTTGTATAATAAGTCACAGAGTTGCCAATTTGTATTTGATTGATCACAACTTCAATAATTCATAACTTTCTTATTTTCATTCAGAATTTGCTCACCTGATTTTCTTATTATTCTGCCTCTATCGAAACAAACTTATTTTGGGGGTGGACTTTCCCTTTAAGTCATCTCCCAGGGCCATATGTGTTTTAATGTCTGCATCTACAGTGCATCTGTTACTAATGCGATAGAAAAACAACTGTAGTATATCTTACTAAGTGATTCAAGTGTTTTAATTCCTATGTTGATGATGGAATATATACAATATTTGTTCCTCCTTCACATGACACATACCATGACTGCTTCTCTATCAGTAAACATGGTATCACTGTTACTGAGGAAGACAGTGAAGTTCCAAAGATCGGTGCCCTCGATACTAGCACCTTCAGGGAGACTATTCAGAGTAACATTTAAACTGGAGCTCTGAGAGCTCTGGTACTCAAAGAGCAGTTGGTCAGTATTGACCGAAACCTGCGTCGAGTTCAGCGCAACACCTGCATTCAATGGGAAGAAATAAGAATAAAATGCTTTTAAGTTATGCTGTATCTTCTGTTCTTTGTCTAGTTGTATTGCAATTAAGATGACATCTGTAATTAGATAACAAGTTACCCAGCCTGTCACTCGGAAACTATTACAAGGAAATATCTAGAAATCTTGATAACCTAAATCGCTGCTGTACTATGTTATTCATCTAAAATTTGGTGTGAGTCAGTACCCTAGAAGTACTAGGAGTAGTAGTTGTAGTAGAAGTAGTAGTAGGAGTAGTAGTGGTTGTAGTTGTAAAAGTAGTAGTAGGAGTAGTAGTAGTAGTAGGAGTAGTAGTAGTAGTACTAGTAGTAGTAGTAGAAGTAGTAGTAGTAGAAGTAGTAGTAGGAGTAGTAGTGGTTGTAGTTGTAAAAGTAGTAGTAGGAGTAGTAGTAGTAGTAGTAGTAGTAGTAGTAGTAGTAGTAGTAGTAGTAGTTGTAGTAGTAGTAGTTGTAGTAGTAGTAGTAGTTTTAGTAGTAGTAGTAGTTGTAGTAGGAGTAGTGGTAGTAGTGGTAGTAGTAATAGTAGTAGTAGTAGTAGTAGAAGTAGTAGTAGAAGTAGTAGTAGTAGTAGTAGTAGTAGTAGTAGTAGTAGTAGTAGTAGTAGTTGTAGTAGCAGTAGTCGTAGTCGTAGTAGTAGTAGTAGTAGCAGCAGGCTGTCAATGGATGATACATGATACATGTAGTAATTCACATGTGTCAGCTTTTTCTTTCCACATAAGCCTTTGGAAGAACAACTATAACTGATACATGTAGTAATTCACATGTTAGTATACATGTGTCAGTTCTTCCTTTCCACATAAGCCATTGAAAGAACAACTCTACCCTACCTGCACACTGGATTGGTTGGCAGGCTGGTCTGATTTCAAGACTAAAATCAGTATTACTTAGGTCGCCTTTTCCTAACTGGGTACAGAAGTATGTAGACATACGACAGACCAGGTCATTTAGGGGTACATTCAAAGTGAGGTCGTTGAACTCCAGCGTCTGGCCGGAATAGAAAGACGCATTGGTGAGAGTGCCAAGATCCACCTGGGTCTCAATGAAGGGGTTAGTCCCATTCTCAGAATCGCTGAAGAAGGCCTTGAGGCTCCAGAGGTTGGTTCCGGTGATGTTGCCACGCCCGGATTCTGAGATGTAGGAGACGGAGACAGTGAAGGGCTCAGGAGCCACCTGGTGTTCAACAACCCTTGAAGGTGTGAAGGTCATTGCGTTGTTTTCCACTCCAGCAGCTGTAAGCATACAAATCAATCATATATAGGCAATCAATTGACGTGTGTTAGGATGGGATCATGTTGCACAATTTACTTTCGCATAGGATGACATAAGTTTTTTTTTTCTTTTTCAGTAACATGATGATTTAATAAGAATGGAATAGAACAGGAGCATTCCTTTCCAAGTTAGTTTACCTCAAGTAAGATCAAATCATGTGTATACAGAAATATCTTGCAGTTTGGCATGTAGCCCCCACCCTTCTCCCCCAATGGTGACACAAGTTGATTATAATTAGGTACACAGCATTCATTTAGAGGAATATATTATAGTGATGAATCGAAGTCGCAAGCAAGTGTGATGATAACTAGATTTTCAGAATGTACCTTGAATGTATTCTCTAAAATGTTCTCTCTCTGTGTGATGAATATCTCAATTTAAATCTCTGAATGTCTCAAATCTATTCTGAAGTATCATCTAAGCTGCCCCAAAGTATATCTGACTGGAGTCCAAAGCGATTGGAACCCTTTTATAATGGGTAAACCCTCTACTGCTAGTTGGTCATTCTTGATTTCTTGACCAAATGACCATAGGCATGTTATAACTTTATAACTTATAACAATGGAGCAGAATCTGATAAATCAAACAATGAAATAGAAGGCAATGTTTTACACGGATCTGGACGTTGCCAGTTAGGGGATGGGGGGTGTATGTATGTACTTACTTTCACAGGTGACAGGGGCACATCCGACAAAGTTCTCTGGACCGGTTGAGTATTGAAGAGTTATGTTTGGAGATGGCATAATTCCTTCACGAATCCTTACACAGAGGTAGTTCACCTTTCAAAATGATTAAAAACACACAAAATTGAGTTGAGTAAATTATGTCAAAATTTGGTAATGAAAAATGCATTTTCAGAAGACACTTTCTCTTGTAATACCCGTAAGGCATTAGTACACTGAGTTTGATCGTTATAAATATGAACTAGAATTCTGTTAATAGGGAGTCTAACTAAAATCACATTAAAGGGATTGGGTATCTTTGTCTCAGATTCTAAACAAAATCCTGGATTTAGCTCATGCTGCAATCATAATTATAAACCTTCAGGTCAGTCAGGAATCCCATGACGTTTACAAGCCGATCGCCCGTCTGATTATCAAGATATTTTTGATTGGAATTTGATATTTCAAAAACAACACTATAGTGTATTGGGGAAAATGAGTATGGTAAAACCAGTCACTCAAAGATTTTTACTTTTTTGAGGCATTTCATGATCATTTTGAAGTGCAATTTTTGTAGGGCTTCAATATTACACCATTCACAGACGCTGATAACATGTATGGCCATGCATCTCAGATTTGGCATTGTTAAACAATGCCTTTATACTCACATCCATGCACAACTGGCCAGATAAATCAACCATGACTGGCACAACCAGTGAGGTGGTAGAGTCGGACGGGACAGCATCATCTATCCAGCTTCCACTTGTCAGAGTAGTATCAAAACGCTTGATCTCGCCAGTGCCATTTTCAAATGCATTGGTGAAAACATCCAGCTGCCACAGGCCTGTACCAGATGCCTGAGCCCCCACGTCGGTGGTCAGGGCAACCTCAAGATCAACAGCCTGGCTTGGAAAATCTTCTACAAGAACACCGCCATTCGGGATCGAAGTGATCGTGGTGTTTGTGTTTGTCACAATTATTCCTGTTTATAGAAAAAGAGAAGTGAGACAAAATTACATTGTACATCATTAATGTTTGAATACATCTTTGTCCCTTTTTTTATAGACATTTACAGGATACCTCTGATTAAGGAATAACATAACACAACGTTCTATGTAATATATCATCTACACTTAAGGACAAGTCATATCATTCAAACATCCATTAGAAAAATAAGTAGCTTATGTTAATTTCTAAAACTGCACAAGGAAAGTACAAAAATTATTGATTTATATTAAGATAACAAATAAAAAAGTAATTCTCCAAAAGAAGATCAGGGCATACTCATTGAAATATCTAGAGTCAAAGAGTTCTTAACAGAGCCCACCAGCCCTACTCAAAGCTCGTTATAAAAATATCATTAAAAATACATGAAAACTTGACCACAATCAAAGAAATACATAAGAACCAACAAGCAAGAAAATGAAGTCCTTTCAAATGCACTAATTTGTAAACCATAAACAATTACCTTTGCAGTTGAGATTAGTGCAGCCTATAGTGTTACCCGTCAGAGAAAATGCTGGATCTGGATCTGTCCCCTTCAATATTTCCACACACAGGTAGTTATTCTCATCACATGGGCGGTCTGTCATGTCAAAGGAGACATCAATCGTTGTAATCCCTGTGAAATTAAAGCCTTCATCAGGAGCAATTACAGTCTCTTCCTGAGAATTTGAAGAAAAACATATACCATTTAGATAATTACAGTAATGAAAGCTGCACTGGTTTCCAATCTGCAAGCGCCTAGAATTCAAAATCCTTCTCCTCACATGGAAGGCTTTAAATGGATTAGCACCAAACTATTTATAAAACCTTGTTATGCCTTATACACCAGGTCGTTGTCTAAGATCATCACACCAGCATCTTCTTAAAGGGCAAGTCCACTCCAAAAATAACTTACTTTCAATAAAAGCAGAAAAATCAGACACACCAATCAAAAAAAGTTTGAGCAAAATTGGATAACTAATAAGAAAGTAATGAATTTTTGAAAAAGTATGTAAAACTATAGAACAATGAGAATCACAACACAAATTGCCAAGATGGTTATCAGTTTGTGACGTCATGTCCTCACAACTTATCAATTGCTTTATATAGCTTAATCCCATTAATTTCCCTTTTTATCCCCCAAAACTTGATTTCCACGTGCCTTTGCCCAGGTAATATGATTTGTATCATACCTTGAGTGCATGACATTTCCCAAAAACTTTTATGAATTTTGAAGAATTGATACCATTTTCGGAATATTGTATTTCATAATTATTGATTTTCATATAAATAGTTTATCAAAATTCAATTTTTCATGATTTAACTGGACAAAAATTACTCTTTATTTGTGCATCCACACAAAAACATAATACTAACAATCTAACTTGGATGCTGATGGACTTGGGCTTTAAGATCCCCAAGACATGAGTAGCCTGTGGTAAAAGGGCTTTTTCAGCTGCACTACCTCTTTGGAATTATTTTACCATTTAATTTGAGAATCATAACTTCCTTAGAGACCTTTAAATCTAAGCTGAAATCTTATCTTTTTTACCTGTAACAATACCTGTACTTGGCACTATGGCACTCATCCAAACTTTCTTGTCCAATCTTTCACATTCTTTCTATTTTTCTTGTGCGCCTCAGATTAGAATTGTCTAGATAGACAGCGCTATGTAAATGCCTATTATTATTATTATTATTATTATTAATATTATTATTAACGATACTACATGTACATGTATTTGGTAACCAAAGTTGTATTTATTTTGATAGGCATGATGTACCTACATGCTTCCTGTTTATCAACTACCGGTAATCAAAGAAATTTATTATTTGAAATTTTTGGGCTTTACCATAATTATTGTACACATGTAATAAAGATAAAGTTCGGTAGTGTGATTGCAATGTGAAAGAAACTGTTTGGAAGCCATTAGGATAAGTTGACTACGTAGTACAAAAGAACTGATGTATACCTGTGAGCTTTTGGAAGGATCAAGACAAAAAGAAATTGACTCAGTCTTGATGGAAAGCACATGCCCTACCTTGGCTGCATGCACACAGAAATAGGTTTATGGGACTACACACACATACAGCATATTGGGTTCAAATTGTCTACTTTTCAGCTATTTCTTGTCATACTTTGAATGTGAGGGCATTTTCAGAACAATCCGTTTTCAGGGGACAGTTCTACTATTTTTCTATTTTGATTTCTCCAAACTGACGTAAAACAAATGAGAAAGTTCACCAATCATTCTTCATCTATAGAGCTTTGAAAAGATGAAAGCTCAAGGCATTGGCCCACCTGTAATGTAGTTAGATTATGCAGAAAATTGATTCCACCATCCTTTGATATGCCATCAGAACTGGTGAATACGTTTAACCTCCACAGCTTCTCTCCAGAGAGAGGGGCACTCTGATCAGTGGAATTGCCAGTAAGAAACAGCTCAGCTGTGAGAGAAGCTCCTGTGTTTTCAATCACGTCGATCGAGTTGAGTATACGAATATTGGTGGCATTTATTTCCACACCTGAAAAAAAACAAAGAAACAAAGAGGTTCCTAATAACAGTAGAAAGAGTATAGAGGTCCACACTACATGTAATTCATTAAATTTGTAAATAATTATATTTGTATGCATGGTCTTGAGTGGATACATTTTGTACAAGCTGATGGGCATATGTACAGTATGTATGTTTTCTCCAGTATTTGCATCTGGACATGTAATATGACTGTAATTGCTTTCTTAGTCATATATTATTCTCATCATGACCATGCTATGTGATGAGAAGAACCACACAGAGATTAAAAGAATAAATAATTCCTAATATGAATAATAAATATGTCCATTCCTTGGTACATTTCCACAGTGGACATTTATAAACGACTTACCATGGCATTCAGTTTCCGGTATCTCCCGGCAAGCTACCCTCACATTGTTGTCAACATCAAAGGTAAATGATGCACTCTGGTTCTTGCTCAGTTGTACACACAGAAACCTCATGCTATCACAGGTTGAATCAAGGTCGATGGTGGCAGAGATGCCGCCTAAAGTGCCCATCTGGCCAGAGACCACATCTGAAAAATTGCAATGGATGCAAATTTGTTTAAACTTAGGTTACAATGCAGGGATTTTCTGTTATTTTCTTCAGCCTCCCTCTTACATTGATGTGTTCTCTTTTTGAGTCTGGGATTACAACTTATTTCTAGTATGATATGATCATTGATGTGCTTTACTTAGATTATGAGTATGTGCATTTTCTGTTTCTTTTGAAATCTGTGAGTTTGTAGGCTGTATGCGTATTTTTAGTTTTTTAACCCCCCTCTAGATCGATCTTCTTCTCCTTTTCCTCCTCCTTCTTCTTCTTTTTCTTCTCCTCCTTCTCCCTCTTCTTCTTCTTTTCCTTCTTCTCCTTTTTTCAGATTAAAATAAGAGAAATGTCCCAATATTCTGCTTACACATGTTTAATATGACATACAGGTAATCTGTATATCAATGCATCAGCGCACCTTATATACTATTTATTGATCTATCTATCTATGTCCCACTTGGGTAACCACTTGGGTGATAATATGATGGACACAGTTTCTTCATAAATCTCTGCCTTTTGCTGTTCTATTTAACTGCTCACAAGACATTCCTTTTCAGTGCTTGACATCATGAATCCATGTCTTAGATAATCTACCCGAGATTCCTCCAAATGTCAAAGAAAAGTTTGCCAAATAAATACACAGGAAACTTTGTTCTTCAGTTATTTATTATACCTGTACGTTACTTATACAATAAAGGCTTGTTCATATATTGTGGGGTTAATCGCTGCAAAAAGAGCTGCTACATTTTTTTAAACGTGAAAATGAATGGCAACTAAACGCAACAAAGGACTTGCGCTTAGGCCTAAAATAAAAACTTGTTGTATTGCCCTTTGGGTGCCAAAACATGGGTCGGTCTGTCAGAAAAGTTTTTGTTTTTTTTAACTTTTTTTTTTGTCGCCCTCTTTTGGCTGATATTTCTCAGTTTTTAATGTTTTAATACATGTGTTTCAGCATCATCATTCCATTCATATCTTTTTCACCTCATAATAATCCATGGTTTGCAATGTTGTGTGATCAAGATGTTTACGCTAGTAGGATTTTGAAACTAGGGCAGAAGACGAGAGAGAATTTGGGAATGATTTGATTTTATGCATTTATATCCCATTTATCCCAACAAACAAAATACAAATTTTTTTGTTATTCATTAATAATATTAAAAAAATCTAAAAGACGGTTAAAATAAAAAACTTTTTTAAAATGCCGACCGTAGATTTTCAGTTTTTGGGTCGGTCGCAAAGGGCAATACAACAAGATTTTATTTTAGGCCTTATTCACTAGCTCTGTATTATAAGATAAGAGAAATGAGAAGGATTTTACACTTTATGACAACATAAACCACCCCCCCCCCCCCCCACGGTTTGCTGAGTCATATTGAACGAGCCTTAACTATTGAAGATTGGAACAAAAAAAGTGAGAAAAGCTTGCAATATTGAGAGAATCCCGTAATCTTTTCACAGGCGTAGATGTCACATGTAACTGCAATTCAAATTTACCTGTGTTTCTCCATTCTCCAATGTCAGCTTCTGTCATAAGTTCCATTTCTGTCCCATTCTCTTCAGTTCTGAAGAACAATACAGCAGTCCAAAGATCATCTCCTATGGCACTACCACCCTCAGGACCGGCATTCACAATCAGGTCTACAGTAATGGTAGTGGCTTGAGCACGCTCTGTGATCTCAGGCGGAGAGGGTGTTCTCAGTTCTACAGTAGCACTAGTGAGCTCAATACCTGTTGATCAGAGATTGAATCTTAAACCCTCAGTATTGGGCAAGGAATTGATGAAACTTTTCTTTTCTGATGAAGTAACTTCAATGATAATTAACCGTACTCAAATTCTGATTCCATGACATTTGCTCCGGCGATAATTGCTCCGCTGTAAATTTCATACACTAATCGAATGGCTAACTTCAACCCTGGATTCAACACTATACCCTACCCTAAACCTAACCCTAAACCTAACATAAAACCCTATTGAAACCCTAACCCTAACCCTACATCTTAGACGAAATAAAGCCCGGAGCAATTGTCGCAGGAGCAAATGTCGTGTCACCCAAATTCTCCTTTAACTTTACAAATCATCCAAATAAATGAAAAAGGTATGTGCTTTGGTCCACCAAGACAAAGTCTCTCCTTTGATAAAGTGTTTATTATTACATTTCTAATCTTTTTTAGGGTATTTGATATTCATTTGTATTTATGTATTCATCTTAGATTCCCTCTCATCCTTTAGATACACACACAATACTACCAATAATTAAAACACATCATACATGTACATGTCAAATGATATAGACACTATACATCGTTGTTAAACATAGGCACCTAGCTGACATAATCTGCACTGTATGAAGCCATATCCTTTAACATCAGGAAAACAAGACATCTTCCTCACAGCTTACCTTTACAATTATAAGCTAAACTAGCCGTGGTAACTCCTGTTACAGCTTGGAACGTCTCTAAAGCACTGTCTGTCAGATTTAGATTTAGGCACATGTACCGAGTGTTGGAACATGCTGAAGTCAATAGATCGACTTTCACCTGTGAGAAAAAGATTAAAACACTTTAATGATAATAAGCAAATAATTACTGTTGGTGAAGGTGATGGGACAAACTATCACTTCCGAGGCGATCTGGATGTAGCTATCTTTCCGAAGCGAAGCTGAGGAAAGATAGTGTATACATTCTGATCGACGAGGAAGTGATAGTTTGCCATCGCCTGAAACCAAAAGGTGATTATTTGCTTTATACTCCACATCTAAAACAATTTAACTACAAAAAGAAAAGGACGTGTATGCATTTACATAAAAGACACCTAGGCTCAAATTCACACCAAAAAAGTTTAAGTTTAACCCAACCCCTTGAGGGTACGGTGCGCGCATGTGTTTTCTTTAATTGCGCTCAATGGTAATGCGTGCTTAAAGGTAGGCTTTACTACTTCAGCAAGAAGGGATTAGACCGCCCAGTGAGCCAGCGAGGTCACTGTGACAGGTGGCTATCTCATTAACTCAGCTCTCATTTAACATAAGAAAAAGAGGATCATGGGGGACCAACGGGCACCGATTGGGGAAGTTTTCTATATAGAGGGAGCAAGTAGCTACAAGTAGGACAGTGTGCCTTCAATTACGCCTGTTTTAGTGCGCTTTTGTATAATCTTCAGTGAAAGTGCGTTGCCCTGTGTAGATAGTCCCTCTATCTTCAGTGAAAGTGCGTTGCACTGTGTAGATAGTAGTACTATCTACACAGTGTAACAAACTTTTTGCTTCTCCCATCAATAATGGGTGAATTATCTTTCATCACGTGATTTACTTTTGACCAATCGTAGAGCGAGATTCTTAGTATGTGGAATATAATAGTAGATACCAACAAAGCATAGTCCTCCATTTTTCATACAATTCAAGATATCACAGAGAGCACCGTTACCCTTCAATATGAAATACATGATGAAAACGGGCTAAGGACTATATGTGAATGACAAGATGTCAGAATGAAAGGGAGAAGATATAAAAAATGACAAGGCATCTCAAATCCTATTTCTATAAACAAATACATAATCATAATCAAACACATATAATGTAAACATGATGTAATAAAGCTGCAATTTACAAGGCAAGTTTCAAAAAGGGTAGCTATTATGAACTATAGTATAATAAGTACTAATTTCACATGGCCTTGGATAATTTTTTTGTTCATTCCAACTATACTAAAATTTCTCTAGAGAAGGAGTGAGATTTTCTAGTTGCAATATTTGTTTTGTTCCAGAGCTATATGTGCTCTTAAGAGCCACATCTCTCTACACTCCATTATATCTTTTCCATTGCTTGAGTCTAATGATTTATGGGAAGATACTAACGAGAAGGTCATCAATAGTGACTTGTTGTCCACCGACATCTTGGCCAGTTTGTCCTACTCCAGGAATGACAGTGGGGGCAGCGTTCGGTGTCAAGGGGTTAGAACAGTCTTCCATATCACTGAGGAAGACCTCAAACATCCAAAGGTTATCTCCCATCACTCCCCCACTAGTCGGCACTGGATCAATGGTCAGATCGACAACAAAATCCTGGAGGCCAGAAACAAACTCCAGCAACGGTTGTGTTTGCCTCGAGTTCTGGGTAAGTGTCAGAGTTTGGATAACAAGGCCTATGCACTCTATTTGCTGACACACTATGTAGCTGTTGACATCAAAATCCAAAGATGAGCCATTGTCCCTTATTGAGTTGCTGTCCCTTTCAACCGTGAGGCACAGGTAGAGAGAATTGCAGGAGGCAGATGAAAGATCTAATTCTACTTCAGCACCTGAGATCTCCAGTGAGTCACCAGGTGCAAGGTCCTGACTAACAGTATTATCTGTCAAATGTAAAGACATGGAGAATGCAAATCGTTAAGTTTTTGCAAGCACTCTAATAAATTTACATATTTCTTTGATTTCTACAACAAATTATTGAAGACATGGTTTGGCGTAATGCTATTTTACTAGATACATGACTCGCAAGTAAATACTACACATACCACAAATTCATTATCTAATTGATCTCAACCTTCAAAAGGATACAAAGTAATTGTGTATGTTTATATTCATATTGCTGAATAAAATAAAGTAAAAATTCAGCTAAATTAGCACTTGCAAGTTCTTATAACACGATGACCTGGAATGAACTGAATTATCTGCCATTACAAAGACAACATTCATGCCCTCAAATATACTGTATTTCTAACAATAGCGCCAATAGCATCAGGTTTGACAGACATAGCTTATTACAAACGTTCACTGTAGTAGGGATCGAGGGCTGTTCCTCAACCCTCTGACTTGATTCATCATCCAAGATACAAGATGATAACTACCTGATAGATCAGCATAAGCTTCAGCGACGGGTGTGGAAGCAGTGCTGGCTGTATCATCACTCATAGAGAGGTAGGCTTTCACCTTCCACAGATTCTGCCCATTCACACCCCCCTTTGTAGGGTCAGTATCAAAGGTAACATCAAAAGTGATCTCAGACATGCTCTGGAATTCTGCAACCTGAGAGGTTGTAGTAATGGTTCCACCAATGAATTCTACCCCTGCACATCAGAATAGAAAAAAATTAAACAAAATGGTATGGGTTACTCAACATTAAATCGTTAGAGATTCAATGATGAATTATATGTTTACATTCCACATTGACACATGAAAAATAGTGGATTTAGCTCAAACTGAAAATTATGAGCTAGTCAAAAGATTTCTCCCAATTTATTCTGAGTCCTTAAAAATTCACTAATAAAAAAAATATAGCGGAGTATTGCACTTGTGTGTTAAATCTGAGATGCACTGCCCTACATGTTATCAGTGTCTGTGATATGGTGTTATACTGAAGCCTAAAAAAATTGCACTTCAAAATGATCAAGAAATGCCTCAAAAAAGTAAAAACCTTTTGAGTGACCAGTTTTACCATACTGGTTTTCCCCAATAGACTGTAGTGTTATGAAAACCCATTGGCAAACGCAAAATTCGATTTCGATTTTCAATCATAAATATGACTATGACTGACCTGACTGACCTAAAGGTTTATAATTATCATTGCAGCATGAGCTAAATCAAGGATTTTTTTTAAGGATAATAATAATAATAATAATATGACAAATTTATATAGCGCTTGTGACAAAAGTTTCAAAGCATCTAAGACAAAGTTACTGGATCCCTTTAACTTAAAAAAACAAAGGCTGAAAATGATTTGAGGATGATGATACTGTTATTGAGGAACGTTTCTAGGAAAGACTCTAGCACAGTATTTAAATTACATTCTCAATCAACTTTCTTGAGCTTTTGATGTGAAATTAATTGAGCTCTGCATCTGTCCATCAAAGTAATATTATAAAGTGATTTCAAAATGAATCATACAAATTCTTCTCTATTTCATGAGGTATCCCAGATAATTTTTTTACTTACATACTAAAAAACAAATACAACTTGAATTCTTTAATTTTATTCAAAATGGTAACAAGTCTCCATATTTTGTAATTACTTAAGTGTCCAATCATCAGGAAAAAAATTGTGTATAAAATCAACCTAAAAAAAAACTTTCTCTAGCATTTTATAGGTAAACGGATAAGGAGTATGGATAAAATAAAGGCTAACAATTAAACCCCACATATAGGGCTCGCACAGGATATTGGCTAGTATACTCAACTAGAAATTTTACCATTCACTGAGGATGAAGTTAAATTGCAATATTTCTTTGTAGAAGTAATGTATGAAGTTCATATTTTGAATACAGTATAGCCACATGGAACCCCTTACATCAAGAGCAAAACATGTTTTGATTATTTAAACATATTTGTGGCCTACACCCATTCAATAAGATCGATTGATCGATCGTTATTGATAAAAAAAAAAAAAATTTAATTTTTGGAACCAGTGGGACTTCAACCTGCATCTACTGCTTGCCGGGCAGCGACTCTACCACCAGGCCATCACTGGTCCATGGCACAGTCACGATGAACAAGAAACAAATACCCATAATATTGTTTTGGTAATTGGTACACTTTGATAAAGTTTCTCTTGAAATACAGTTTCCATCATCAGAATGTAAGATTTACTTTCAGCCATTAAAGTTATCTTACCAGCGCAATCAACTTCCACGCATCCATATTGTGCAGACTGTGGGATGAATCCTAGGGAGAACTCTCGTGAGCTGTTCTTTTGAGGGTTTACACAAATATAACGAGCCTCAGGACATCCATACTCGGTGAGATCAATCGTTACTCCTAACTGCAAAAGAGAAAACAAATTAGTTTGTGAAATAGTAGGTGACCCAGTATTGTACTAGTGATAGTTCTTTATGTTTGTTTCTTGTAGCATGCATATCTACCGCACAAGGTACTCAAGGGGGGTGTTTCACAAAGATCCTAAGTCAAACTTAACTCTAAGTTGGACTTAAATATTATGGAGAGCCATTTGTAGCCTTGAAATAATTATATTGAAGAGCAAAAATTGAAGTATTCTAGACTTTTCATAAATTCCACATCAAGAACATGATATCTTCTTGAAGACAGAAAACATGAATAATTTGCATCAACATGTTATGCCTTTTAAAATAACTTTACAAAATATTTTAAAAGATGAAAACGGCCTTCCATAATTAAATCCAACTTAGAGATACATGTAAGTTCAACTTAGGATCTTTGTGAAAGACCCCCCAGGTGCTCCAATGTTACCTTGAAGGGAGGATAAATATCTCATTCGTGAAAATTTTAATTACACTATTCTTTCATTTGGCCGAAACTTAGGCCACATTATAAGGCGTAACTTCAGAGATGTATTTGTTTCAGATTGCATCAGAACGGGTATAGCTTAATGACCTTGCCTTTGAAGACCACTTGTATTTTGGTTCACATTCATGTACATGTTTGGCTTTTCAGTGTAAACCATTTATAATAATTTGTTCTAATCTTGCTTCCCCAAACTAACCCACAGAAAAGTGTATACCGATACCAGAAACAAAAAAGAACAACGAGTGATTGATCTTTTATTATAGGTCTTGTGATTTCAAGAAGAGCTCTGGTAAAACATCGCTGAAAAGGAATAAAGCAAATCCATAAAGAGCTCTCCTGAACAAACAAGCAATTCTTTCACTGGTGTATATACACAACCATAAAAAAGAATGTTGAAAAAAATTCAACACAAACACACACACATTACAGAACTGATTAATGTGTAACAAACTCTTATCTTAATAGCAATTAAGCTTTAAAGGCTACATAAAATACATTAAATTTACATTAAATTAAAAAATACTTTATCAATTTGATACTCTGTCTGTTTAATCCTGAAAAGAAATCAAGTCATAGTTACATGCAGGCAAATACAAACTGTTTTATTTCAACGTTACCAGCCTCATCTAAGATAATGAGTAAATCTGAGTATTGCATCATTAACCCATTGATTACTGAATTATGTAGTTCATATAGGCTTAATACATGCAGGGACCACCCAGTCCCAGTAGGCAACAGGTTAACTGACGAGCCCTACCCATTAGAGCTTGTATCCAGGCCAAATATCAAGTAACATAAGACAACTTCTGTGTCAATTTATATGCCTTTAATAGTTGGTGATGTATGAGACATTAGAATACAAATGCAACATACCTCAGGCCAGACGGACGTTCCCATGTTGCTGATACCATAGTTTGTGACAGCAGTCAATGTCGGCGTTGCAGGAATCATAGGCGAAGTGCCAAACTGGTTGTCATTCCCAAAAACCAAGGGATCCCACAGGTACGTCCCTGTAGCAAAGAGACATATCTTGTTACAATAGCAAGCATAAAATCACCCTCAAATTAATTCAGCTCATAAAATTTACACTCTCATCAACTGAACAATGTTTTCCAGTGGCTACATCAAAACCATGGAACAACACCCCACTTTGCATCAGAGTTATAGTATACCTTGCCAATGCCTTACAACCCCCAAGAGATCCCTGACTACTAGCTTCTTTCCCAAATTAATAATGGTGATAATATGATGTACTTTAAAAGTACCTTTTTTGTGAGTCTAAGTTTTATTTCATGTCTCTCTTTAAATCTGTGATTTTGTTTTGTTTTTAGCACCCCCAAGTACTCAATATTATTCATTAACAAGTCATCAGATACAAGCTGCACCTAATGTCATACATATCACTTCCATTTTATCATCACATTTTGTGACACTTTTATTTCAAACAGTTTTAAAAGTAATAAAATGCATAAACAAACCTGCTCTTTAACAAATAAAACCAATGACGTCCCCCATCTTTTATTAATACAAACAATAACTGAATTCAATCCAAAAAATCCAAAGTTAAAAATGGTGTTTTCATACTTATATTCTATAGCCGGGGTTTTTTGTTCTTCAGATGAACAATTAGTATAGAATATCTGCATTCTATACTAATGGTAAATGTTTTTATATTTCAATTACAGAAATCTCATCACAAAAAGGAATGAAACATGAGATAAAAGTCAAATCTGATAGACTATCAGATAGAGTACATAATTACATACAAATTTCAGTATGTTCAATCTCTAGAGAGAGACAAAATCTTTTCTTCATTTAAAAAAGACATTAATGACATATTTCTACTTAATTCATAAAATAAAGAGAAATTAGAAAATACAGATTTTCTAAGCAGATCTCTTACATGATGAAAACTGTATTTTCTTCATAAAGGCAAATAAGAACAAAAGATGGTCATCCTGAATGTCAAGGATCACACAAAGACTATCATGGCTGATGCAAGTTACCTGAAACAGAAGCGTAGTTTTGGTCGGATTGAAAGCTGACTGTTAATCTGACATTGTTACTTGGGAGTCCTTGCTTCAGTGTTGATGTCTCTAGTTCAACTGGCTCAACGTACGTTATTACCACACCTACAAGATACATGCAAAATAGAGGAAGACATGGTTATTTGTTCACATCATCACCATCATCATTGTACAATTTGCATCTGTTTTTTCCCCACACTGTGGGGTTGAATATATCATTTCCTACATGACCTTTCTCCATGCCTTTTTGGTCTTCAGCATCAAACTAAGTGAGGCCAGATACTCTCATATCTTCTTCTAACGATACCTTTCACGATTTATGAGGTCTGCCACAGGAATGTATGAAATGTTTAAATATAAAAGAGCACATTTCAGCATCTACCAAGCATGGTTAAGAAACATCAATGCACTTACTGGTCTACCTTCTGTTTCGAGCTAAAAGGAAGTTCATTTTGTTTTAGTATCACAAGATCAAAACACCTTTTAAGGTTCTCTCATTATATCTGTCTATAGCTAGGTGTTGATTGATTTCATGCTAAATACAGCTTATGCCTTTCTGCTTCTCAGCGAAGGAAGCATCAAACTAAGTGTTCAGGGTTCTCAATCGTCTGTGCGAGCACAACATCCTTGTTGCCAATACAAAATGTGGAGACTTAAAAGTAAATGCCAAGGACAAATGCTCCACAAGGGTACCAACAAAAGCAATTAATCTGTCAATGCATACTTTCAATCTGCAAAGCTATTTTGGACCTACCACACAACTTCCCTGGGTTCACTTCTGTTTTGACTTATAAGCATATTAATGCATATATTTTAGATTGCAATATGGTTAAGGTTCACCAACAATCAATTGACATGGGCTGCTGCCAAGTTACCTTTCCTTCAGATTGGACCTAGGCTAGGATAGACAAATTTCCGCCACTTATCTTTTGAGGTATGATTTTCACAAATACAGGCTCATTCACATATGACACGTCAAGCCCCGGCATTTGTTTATGATGATGTAAAATGTAATACGGTTTACATTCCTGTATCATTTAACACAGAGCTTTGTTGCGTGCAGTTGCCATTAATTTACATGTATAAAAACAGCCGCGCAGCTGCTTTTTCAGTGGCTGCAATACTGCATCATAACTTAACGAGCCTTGAGAGAAAAGAAAAAAATCCAGACAGGTATTGATATGATTGTGGTACCAGGTGACTAGAAAAAAATGATTAATGATACCTATTCCAATCCAACAAAGGATACAACCTACCTCTACATGTAATCTGAATGCAGCCCTTAGTTTCTCCAATCAGTGTTAAATCTGCTTGTTCAGAAGTGATTTCCACACAAAGCAAGGGTACAGCATCACAGCCGAGACTTGTTAGAGAAACATCTAAATCTGGAGGAGAGAAAGAGAGCAAGAATGTAATGGACGTGTAAGGTGTGGTAACCCACAAACATTTATATTCAGGGGTGATAGTGAGCATTAATTTTTTCTCACCCAGCCCCTCTCCTTGAGAAAAAAAAACAGCATCTAACTTTTGAGTAAGAAAATTGGGAAAAAATTGGGGGGAAAATCGAGGAAACATGGATAAAATAGGGAAAATTAGAGAACATAAGGGAAAAATCGGGGGGGGGGGGGGGGGGGGGGAAGAGGTAAAATCAGGAAGAAAAAAAATCATCAGGAGAAGTTTATTTATTTTTTAATTGGGAAAAATATCAGGAAAACAATTGAAAAATCAGGAAATTGATTTAAATCGGGTAATTATCAGGCCTGCATATTATATTTCTTTATCAACTGAAGTTCATTCACATCATCAGGCATACTGAATGAATGGTCAACATATAACTCCTTCTATTTCAAAGCTCATGCTGGATATCAAAATGAGGAAGAAAAAAAAAAATCACAATTCACTCTCTTTCATCTCTTGACTGCAAATGACAATTGCTTACTATTTATTTCATAGGGATACAGTGTTCCAGGAGAAAGCGGATTTGACGTAGACACACTTGTTATCTCCAGAAGTTCCACAGCATTGGAAGCATTGGTACCTGAAGCGAGAGTGTATTTGATTCGGAAAGGGCCCGGGTGAGATACTTCAACGCCATTATCGGCAACTGCAGGGACGTTTGTAGTTCCAATCGAAATGCCCACCGTCAGTGTCGTTTCTTGTTGTTCCACAAGAGGAAGATCTTCCAATTTCGTAAAGAGAACATTGTCAACTGCTAGCTCTGTAGGCAAAAAGAAATTAGAATATGGAGAAATCCAAGACATGAATTATGTGAGCAGAAAGAAAAAAACATTTGTAGGTATTTTTTGTCATTACTTAGTGCTTTAATCAGGTAGGATATACTGCATGTGTATGTAAGCAAATATTCAGATCTACTTGCTCAGTTAAAAACAACAAAGTAATTAAACTTGGAAGATTCTTCTATATATCATTCAATCGGGATAAATACTGGTAATGTATAATCATAATTCAATCATTGGAAATATCTCCTCATATTTGTATGAATTTAGAAAATGATTGAATTGATGTGAAATGAATAACAACTTGCTTTTATAGAAACCTGTGTTGTGAGTTTGTTGACAGATCGAGTTAAGCAAACACTTTAAATTGATAATGTAATAGCTTCTTCTTATTTTTTCAAAGAAAATTTTCATTCAATTATTCTTGAGCAAGAACAAAATAATAGGTTTGAACAAAGTACATGTTGTGACATATCAGTAAAATAAATATTGTTACATCAGTAGCACATGTTTCCATTTATCTAGTAATACAACAAATTTATTGCCTTTGATAGAAAGAGCCTGCTCAACTTCATAAAAACTTTAAAGCATCTTCTTTCAAAAAATTAAAAGATAGCCTAATTCCCTTTTGCATTTTGCAGAGAATATATAGTTTTCTGCATATAAAATGACAAAATTAAAGATAGATTGCATACCATCCTAATCACTTAATCGATCAAAATTTATAATCAAGCAAAACAAATTAATAATACTGGAGGGAAAACAGGTTCATTGAATTTGCGAGCAATCACAGCTTTAATTTAAAGGTTAGAATATATATAGCACAACCGAAACTTACCAGTAGTTTCTGAACGGACACTTGGGATGAAACACTGCAAAAGAATATAGAAAATAAAATTGAAAATATGTACATATCATTTTATAAACCGATGATAGGTTAGGGTTACTTGGGTAAAATGACTGTTTTTGCAGCGGGGTAGAGTTGTCCCCGGGTCTGAGTTAGCCTGGATACAGATGATTCATGGACAACTTTGAGATCCTAGGCCTAATAGTATGTGAAGGGTGTTATTGAAATTTTATTTTTAACAGTTACAGCTAGAGAAGTGCCTCTCTCCCTTGTTCAAATTTTCTCTCTCTCTTTCTTTCACGAATGACCACGATCCAAGCAACACAGGTACGGTAACCTCTTTTCATCTGGCTGGAGTTCCCGCCGAGCCGCACGCTAGCTGCCATGCCCCTGGCAAGTTACTACAGTACATGTAGATCTAGTTCAGAATCATATCCAGACTTTGACCCGTAACTCTGGTGTGGAGATATAGTCTAGGTCTACTAAAACTAAAAGTAGACCTAGTCTAACCAGGAAGGTGTTTTAAACTAGTCTCATATCCCTGCTAAAAGTAAAACATACCAAAAATCAACTTAATCTTCGTCAATTGTTCAAATAATGGTCATGAATTACCTGTTTTGTGTCAATTTTATTATATTTTTTGGACACCATAGTCATACACTTTCTCACACTTTTCTGAAGTTTTCTCACACTCACAGGTTTCACGGCAAACCGCTGCACGATACCATTATTGCATCCGCGTAACGTACCGACGCTGAGGCCTGGAAAGACCAGGCACTAAAAATTCTAACGGCATGCAAGTTAGTGTATATTAGAACTGAAAAAGTATGTTCAAATTGTACCTCACAGGCTCACACAATAACAGCTCTTCATCGAACAGTCCAATTTCGACCCCTACACATTTTCTGGCATTTGCTCATGTCCAAATTAGGCCATGGTCCATGATTAGGCACACATGTACGATCGGTACGATTCTGACCAGACGACATTATTTTGAAAGCTTGTCTATTGCTCTTCATGATATCGATATGCAGTACCGGTACGCCTATTATCGTGGTCATCTCATTTTGTGGAGGTGTCTATCAGCATCACTCTGAAAGCCCTGAAAGTCACCCCGAAAGAAAGCAGACAGGAAAGATGATCTCATAGTATATAGTCGGCTCTTTTGGTCTAAGTTTGCTGCCAGGGAAAATGTAGGCTTGTTTTGTGCCAGAATTGGTTGGGGCGGGGTCCGGGGGCGGGGTCCGGTGGGGGGGGGGGGGGGGGGGGCGGGGTGCGTAAATAGGCGGTGGTGGTGGGGGGGGGGGGCTAATGCTTGTACAATACTCGAAATTCACAACAAAAAGTTTTTAGGTAGGTTAATTGCTTGTACCTGAGTTTATTACAGCTTCCTGGTTAGAAAACCTATTTTTTTTTAAATCGGGGGAAAATACATAGTAGGCCTATCTACCCCAAAACACACTTTAAAACCTATATCAAGAAGGGGAATATATTAGGCCTCTGATCTTATGCATGATCATCAACATATACAGGAGGCGCGATAGCTCAGTCGTTAGAGCAGCCTTGGTCTCGTAATCCGGTCACCCGGGTTCGAAACCAAGTCGATGCGCTAGTGCCCTTTGGTAAGGCATTAATCCTCATTACCAGGTCCCTCGGAGAGGACCTAAAGCCGTCGGCCGTCTGGTTGCTTACTAACAAGCATTTATGCTTTCTTAGCAGTCAGGTAAAATAACCAACCAACCATTTGTACATAGGTTTTCATATTCATATAATTATGTTGATTTGATTAACTTGATTTATTTCCTTACTGCAAATTTGAAAATACAATTCAGACAATGATACAGTATTAGGCTTCTTATAGAAGCAAAATTTGTAAGTGAAAGGGGTCATAACAGCACATGTGCTAATCGATCATTACCCTTACGAGCTAAATTTTTTTTATTAAACTGTTATACTGAACTAACGTTATGAAGATACAGTAGGGGTTACCGGTGCTCCCGGTAAATTTTGATTAATTTCAAATAGCGCCTAGCCTACTGCCGTCCAATGACAGCTGTGACCTCAAAAATCTCATAATATGCAGTTGTGATATATAATTTCAAAACGAAAATAGCCAATCGGTCGATTTTAGTCAAGAAACATTGTTTTATAGCTAAATATCTTGACCTTGAGAGGGAGCTATACAACAAAAAAAAAGACTTTATTATTTTACACATACTGTAGTGTCATCACTTTACACTCGATTTCAAGCGCGACAACGATCCCTGAATATTGTAGGATCGCATATGCTTCCAATATGTTCATTTGAACCAAATTCACGACCCCATACTCTGTATTACCTTTAAGAGGTATTGATATTTACCTTTAAGAGGTAAAGATACTGCACAATATGCGCGTAATATATATAATGTACATTTTACTTGTGGTTTATCATTATGAAGTAATTAAGTAAAAACCTTTCTTTTTAATTGTCAAAATCAGTAAATTCCTTATCTTCCGATTTCTAATTAATGGCTGATCTTTTATAGGGAAGCCTTAATTGATTAGACCTACAGAAAATAGTCATCCGATTATCTTTTTTTAAACATTTGATTTATCAGTCAAGTTCAATGTAACATAGGCCTACCTTTGTAAATACAAAGAGTTAAATGATAGCCTACTATGAAACAAAATAGTTATAATAATAATAACAATTTGACACAATCATGAAAGCTGGAAAGCTCAATACTTGGGTCTTATTAACAACATCAGTATTAATTATTTCTTCATTTAAAGATATAAAATAACTAGAGTAAAATCAAGCAAAATCAAGGTAACATTAAAAGCTTTGAGAATAATAATAATAATACTAAAAGAAATAACACAAATTACAGTCCTTATAAGAAGTTAATCGATATTCTCAATTTTCAAGTTCTATTATAATAATGTACCTCTTACATTCAACTTTAAAGTTAATAGGTAGGCTACAACTGTAGGTAAGGAATTCCCAAACTTGGTTCTATCAAAATAAAAACAATTGCCAATTTTGCCTACATTAACCGATAAAAAACACACCGTAGAATAGAATTGGCTTCTTAAATTAGCCCAAAAGCGACATGTGCTCTCTTGTGTACGCCCATTATTCTTCGATGGTAGGGTGTGGTACTTTACCGGTCCGCATATACATGCATTGAATGACAAGGTAAATCTTATACATGGGTGCAGTATCAAACTAGCAAATTGTTTAACTCGCAGTGCGTGAAATATCTTTTCAACTCTTCGATGTCTCTCTCTATTGATACAAAGAAATACATATTTTCTAGCAATCGTCATAGGCCTCCACTTGGCCGACTGAGCAGTTGTTGCACTGAATAAAAGTTTCATTCTCTCTCTCTCTCTCTCTCTCTCTCTCTCTCTCTCTATCTCTCTAGCTCGATCTCGCCCTCTCTCTTTTATTCTTTCTCTGATTGGGAATGGTGTTGGTGCATGCGTGTTTATGAGCCGACACGCAGCCTGGTGGTGACAGGCTAAACATTATTATGATGTATTATACGCGTCTTGTATGGAAATAGGTCCAAACATTTTAACATTAAAGATTTAAAACGTATATGATCATGATTTATAATGTAATTAAATTGTTTTCTATACTGTACGATAGTTGTTTATATGGTCATTGTCTTAATGTTGCATGTAAACATCGTTTGGTTTTAACCGATCGGGAATCATTTTGTTCTATTTTCATATTTATATATTTCTTATTCTTAGATGAGTATGAACGGGGTCAAAGTCAAATCAAGAATTTACAACTATGCGGATATTTCTTCCAAAATGCCGATTTTGTTCATTCTCAGAATATTAAAAAAAAAATCACAATCATTCTCATATTAAATTTGTAAACCAGTTACAGGAACTGCTGGCTATCATTTCCGCTTTTTGTTTAAAACAAGACGAATCACATTTTGTTTGTGTTAATCAATTATATATTCTGGACTTGAAAACATTTTGTGTTTGTCAACGGATTGTATGTTACATTGGAGTGTACGTTACGAGGCGGGAGACGAGCCCATGTGCATGCAACCATATAGAATTCCTCATTTGGACAGACTGCGGAATTTCAGTCCATGTATTTTTTTTCCTCCTACAAAAGTTTCTTTCAATAGGATTTACCCATTTGAATAAGTTCATACAATAAGAAACGCACTTCGAAAAGAGCAGCTCTTTGGTGGTTTAGGCTACGAATATTTGTCACCGGGTCATGGTTTATCCTCAATGATCAAGTCTATGGAATAAACTATGAAATTAAATGATATTAAACTCTTTTTCAGATATGCCAGGAATGCGACGATTTCTTCAGTTCAAGAAATACGAATGGATTGTGGAATGTTTGCGTTTCATCAAATAAACGTACAAGATCGGATATTCATCATCATGTTATCTGAAATCAGGCCTGTGCCTACGTCATTTTCATAACCCATTTTTGTGTATTATGATTGTAAGATAGTTCTGCATTCCAGAATATAGCATTCTATACAGCCTTTGTTTCCAGTTTGCTCAAGGAGTTTTATACCACAGAGCTCTTCGGTTACTCCTTGGTTTAACTATACATTGACCTACTCCAGTCCATGGTCTACCAAAGCTTATGTCTACATGTAGGTCGTTATTATCTTACATGATGTGCAAGTCCTAAACTTATAGTAATGTAGTGTCTGATTACAAAAAAAAATCTATTGTGCCTCATCTTATTGAAAATACATGAAAAAGGTGCATTTCTAACTGTTTCCTATGTATGTTTATCAATAACCAATAACATTATAACATAATAAACAAAATTGTATTACTTTATAAATACATGCATATTAAGAAATATATTGTCTGAAAGAGGAAAAAACACTATTCAAAAGTCAGTTGCAAGTTGAATTCCATTAAATAAGAGAGATACTTATTTAAAAGGTTTATCTCTTATGTCAATCTCTTGTGGACTGAAGTAATACAGAGGGTACACGTGGGGAACATAATTCAAAAGTAAATTTTCTAATGGTCCGAGTA